TTTAAATCCTTTTTTTTTTTTCACTCCCGGTGGGCCCAAAAAAACACACCAAAATATTTATAAATCCCTCCCCCCTTGTTCCATTTTTTTTTAAACCCCCCCCCCCCCCCCCCCCCACAAAAAAAAATGAAGGTCTTGTGAGATCTATAAAGACATTTATATCTATTTGTAATAACGAGCAGAATTGCTGTAGATACCCTCGAGCGAGTCACCGGACTCGTGTTAGTTCAGTACCGCTACGAACAATCCACCACGTTCTCACCTCATGTGACAGACGTTGAGCAGCAGTCAAGTGTCTAGAAAGAGCTGACACGAGGACTTTGGTCTGCCAGCAAAAGGGCAGAGCATTGTGCGAATTGACCAGATGAGTACATAGAAAATGCGGTGCTTGATAGGTGTTTATACTGATAGGACTTTGATGGTGCGCTAGGAGATAACCGCTTAAAGCCATTCAAGCTCGATGACAACAGTCTCAAAGTATACAAGTATCTTGATATTCTGGACACTTAAAACAAAACAAAGCATCACCGCATTCTATCTACATGTCAAACCCAACATGCACATAACTCATATTGAATACATACTCGTCATGCTTAAAAACAAGTAGAGATATCGAAATAGACATATCAATTTTAGCTTCGTCTCATGTTAGTAGAGATTAGTGGTATTGTATAGAATAGACTCGCCCGTTTGCCCATCATGCGTGATTCCGTCGCTCTCAGAGCTACCTACATAAGAAGCAAACGGCAAGACTTGCCTCACTTACGTACACTCTCTTAGGCATAGCACTACTCAATCACCAGCTCGATATACAGGAACTTGAAGTGACTGTCCCCCTTAGACTGATCTTTCACTGCACAGAGCATACATATATAAGAGCACTGCCTGAATTTGATGGGAATATGAGCTCCCAAGATACATGCCTCATCTTCTTTAACTTAGGTAGCACTTCCTTCTTTCCATACACGCAAAGGTACTTTGAGGAATACCTACGCGTGAATACCTATGAAACCCCAGTCCCCAGCAACGGCACCTTCCTTCCGGTATCTCGAGCCAGGTAGCAAAAGACATCAACACTACTCGACGACACAAGTACTTCCCTCCTTCCTCCGCTTCTAGAAGATACTTATGTGCCTGGGTATGTAGGTACTTATGTGAAGTACGCCTTCAGACAAACACATGCGTGTGCGCGTACAAGGCATCTCTCACAACCTCATCACACCACCCGCCTTTACTTTACTACAACTGTTTCAAGCTCAACCCTTGGGTTTCCTTCCTGCACCTCTTCAGAGTCTTTTCTTCTACAGCAATTTCTGTGCTGCAGGAAATCACTCCAGGCATTGCATTGCGTCTTCTCATTGTAACCCTTGAGATATCGGCCACACTGAGTTCGTCTTTTAGTCCCGTAAGTCATCGCTGCTTCCTTGTATTTATCTGCTCCTTCATACCGGTGCCTGACCCAACCCCTCATTTGACATCATCACTGATTTCCTACCCACCATTTCTTGCTCTCAAGATCGTCATTATCATCTTTCCTCAGAAGTCTCTACCCTTCCGCTAGCCCACCAGACTTCCGTCAGTAAGTATGGGAATAAATCATTGCTTTCGTTTTCCTTAAGCAAGTTTGCAAGCCTTTGGACTCATCAACACTGCTTTTTGTAGTAGGAGGTTGCATTGCTCTTTCATCTCCCTATTCTATCTGTCACTAACCATCCCAGAGATCTAGAAATTCGTGCTACCAATCCATTTGCAATATCCAAGTGAATCAACCCATCTGGTAAGCTTGACTTGACTGCTAGTCAGCTCTTGATTAGTATCCTTGCTACTAGCCCAATCTAAAATATCATGGCAATCACGGCAGTCTCAGACTTCGTTCACTCCTTCCCTTAACCCAACCTATTCGATGTCACCCAATACCCTAACCTAGCCCTCAAATCAGTCCTTTCCTGCACCACCACATCAGCTCTTAAATCAAGAGCTAGCGATACTAACTATCTACCCAGATAGACATTAAGCAAATCCTATTTCAGCATGGCTGCGTTCGACGACTGGGGTAAACCCGGCAATTCTACAGGCGACCAGTGGAATGACGCCACCGCCAATGGAAATTGGAATGGCAACGGCGGTGATTTTGGTGGAGGAGCTACCACGTCCTTCGACAATGGTGGCACCCATGGTTTTGATGCGCCCACAGGCGGCGACGATGCTCGAGACGGAGGAGGAGGTGGCGGTGGTGCCTGCTACAACTGTGGCCAAGACGGGTAAGTTAATTTTCGAAAGGTAAATGAATGATACCTACTCATCTCACTGTTTAGTCACAATAAAGCCGACTGTCCTAATCCCCGTGTTATGAAATGCCGACATTGCAACGAAGAAGGACATGCTGTTCGTGACTGCCCTACAGCACCACCTCGTGAATTCACTGGCGAGTGCCACCACTGCCACAAGGAAGGTCATATGGCGAAGGATTGCCCCGAGAAGCCTGCTGAAGTGTGCAGAAATTGTCAACAGGAAGGTAAGTATTATTAATAAATATGTATATGATATGGTCTTCGCTGACAAATTGATGTTACCAGGCCATACGGTCATTGACTGCAAGAACCCACGAAAGATTGACCGTTCCCATGTTGCAGAGGTGAATTCTGAAATTGCATGGGAAAAGATCATCCAGGGAGCTCGGGAGAGGGACATGGATGATGTCAAAGAAGCTATCCAGGAATATATCAAAGCCTGCCCCGATTTGACCTATGTCGAATTGGAGTCCGCTTTTCGTTCTCAGAGTATCGAAGTATACCTTATTGCCTTGGAGAGCCAGGCTATGATGGCTTCTTTGACGAACATGGATCTCCAGGGCAATCTGGATAAGAAGTATCGGGTTAACTATCGATTTAGTAAGAACCCAGCTCGTCCTCGTGAGCGAGAGCTGTGGCCTAGTGACGATAAGGAGAATTTGTCACGATTGGAAGATGCTGGTGAGCCTGTCAACCGTGGCCTCAGCAAATGCAGCAATTGCAGTGAGCTCGGCCATATCTTCAAAAACTGCCCACAAGAGAAGATTGAAAAGGAGCGGGTCGTCATCATGTGTTACAATTGCAACGAACCTGGACATCGTATTCGTGACTGTGAGTATATGAATGCCAATAGATCCAACTCAGCGGCTAACATCTCCTAGGCCCTCAGGAACGTGTCGACAAGTTTGCCTGCAAAAATTGCGGGTATGTTTTTTTCGACCTCCGGCTCTACTTTGTGATCTAGCAACGGAATACTAATGAATGCTGGGATATAGCAAAGGTGGACACAAGGCAGCTGATTGTCAGTGGTCCCGTGCATTAAAGTTCTCTATCGCGAACGACGTACTAACAGCTTAATAGGTCCCGAACCTCGTGTCGCAGGAGACGACGTAGAATGTCGCAAATGCGGCGAGAGTAAGTTCGCTCTATAAATCAGTGGGAACAGGCTAATAAGTTCATCACAGAGGGCCATTTCTCAAGAGACTGCCCTCAGGGAGGCGGTGGCGGCACGCGAGGATGCTACAACTGTGGTCAGGAAGGACACTCATCTCGCGATTGTACGGAGCCCAAGAAACTGATCTGCCGGAACTGTAACGGAGAAGGTCACACGTCCAAAGAGTGCCCCGAGCCTAAGGACATGTCTAAGGTCCAATGCCGCAACTGCGATGAGTATGGTCATGATAGTCGAGGATGCCCGAAGCCTCGCGACTGTGAGTCTTTCCAGATCTTGATATTCATCTTCGAGAGGGTAATGCATTTAACACATATAATAGATAGCCGAGTCCAGTGCCAAAATTGTGGAGAGTATGGCCATACCAAGGTTCGTTGCAAGAAAGAGACAGTGGCCCCCGACAACTTTGATGAAGGCAACACTGGCGATGGCGGGTTTACAGGATTTAAGGGGGCTCCCGAACCGGCTTCAGATGGCTGGATGAAGGAGGCCAGTGCAAATGCAACCACAGCCAATGCGAATGCAACCACTGCCAGTGGCGATGGATGGGGCGCTGGTGGAGCAGACTGGTAAATGTCTCGATGGGCCATACTATGGTTATGAGAGGATTTGAAGAAGACTCTGGGTCATTTGCTATCATTGCCTCGTCATCGAGAGGCCTCTACTGATCTGATAGTGCCACTGCTTCGTGAAGATAGTCTCAGCCTGCTCTAGGCAGGACGTGTTACTATACCTTCTTAGATGACAAGAGAGTTGAGTCAGGCAGCATCACAATTGAGAAAAAGCATTGAGTTTCTAAAAGCGATCAACCCATGGTACTCTACAATTAGGCTGCAATTAGATATATGGTAAGTTGCGAGAGTTGCAACCTATCTCAAATCATCTCTTTAGAAGTCCCATAGTGAATTGGTAAATGCCTGACGCGTGGCGTCACAGCCACAGCTTAGGCTCCAAGCAATTGCCCCGCATCTCCCTGCACTGAAGTTCAAGCTACATGGTACCTGCAGTTGGAGGCATACACTCCCGAGGTCCTCAGCTGCCCCGCGTCATCACGTTTCATAGTGGGAGAGAGATCCTGGAGGTTAGGCAGACAATTGACACCGATTATTATATACGTTGCTGCTTTGAACTTCGTCCGTGGTCTCCAATTGTCTCTGTATTCAAGACACTGATTTCTGCCTTGTTGCTGCCTCTGATCTATGTCTAAACATGCCGATCACGATTGAGAAGACCCTAGCTGCATCCCCGGTGACAATCCGAGGGCAACCAACACAGCTATCTACTGACCCTGCCGGCACGAAAATCGCTTATGCCGTGAGTAACCTCGTACCGGATTTCCGTTCCTTAAGCTGACTGTCGTCATGTAAAGTCTGGCAAATCGATATTCTTGCGCTCCATCGACGATCCATCAGACTGTATACAGTACACCGAACATACCACGCAAACAACAGTTGCACGGATTGCGCCGCTACCAAACATCATACCAGAATACAGGATTGCAAGTGGAGATGTGAGCGGGTTGTGCCATGTATGGGCTTCAACCAAGGATGGGATCAAGAAAAAGGGTGAGTTCGGGGGTTGATAGAGTAATTCTAGGGTTCTGTCAAGTCGGTTGGCTAACAGATACCTATTCCATCATAGACGAATGGCCAGCATTTTCGGGTCGCATAAACGACATCGCATTTGCCAGTGATGGAGATCGCGTGATAGCTGTTGGTGACGGTCGTGAGAAGTTCGGACACGCCTTCAACATCACCGGCGGAAAAGTCGGAGAAATCACTGGCCATTCCAAGGTCATCAATGCTGTCGCCGTACGGCCGACAGAAAGGACAGTCCGCGCCATATCAGCTGTGACAGTGAGCGATGACATGTCCGTGTGTTTCCTCGGAAATGTACCGAGTCCCCTACACTTTCAATCGAAGACCGATGGCCTCCATAAGGGCTTTGTGCTTGGCGCCGCCATCTCGCCAGATGGCAGTAAATTGATCACCGTGGGAGCCGATAAGCGTATTCAGCTATATTTGTACAACGATCAGAAGACTCCAAAGGGTTTTGATCACGACAGAACAATTGGCGAGGGCGAGCACAAGGGGAGTATATTCGCTGTCAGTTGGTCGAGTGACTCGAAGAGATTCGTTACGGCCAGCGCAGACCAAACAGTCAAGATCTGGGACGTGGATTCAGGCTCTATCTTGAAAACCTGGAGACTGGGTGGGGAGGGTGTCAGTGTTGACGATCAACAAGTTGGCGTTGTCTGGCCTCAGGGACGAAGTGACGGTTTGATTATCAGTTTGAGTCTCAGCGGAGATCTCAACTACCTGAAAGAAGACAGCGACAAGCCAGTTAAGATCGTTCAAGGGCATAACAAGACCATCACAGCTTTGGGTGGCAACGGCCGGACACTACTAACAGGAAGCTTTGACGGCAGAGTTTGTACCTGGGATGTAGCTTCAGGGGTAGGTACATTGGTCGATGGCCAGTGCCATACGAACCAAGTCACATCTTTCGCGTCGGCTTCAGGACAGGCATACAGTGTTGGCTGGGACGACACGCTACGCACAATCGACATCGCTAGCAATACATTCGCGGGCGAAGCTCCGAAGCTTAAAGCACAGCCTAAAGGCGTCGCATCTGCAGATGGCCGTGTCTACGTTGCTACAATAACCGGCGTCGAAGTCTACGCCAAGGGTCAATTTGTGAGCAAGCTCGACATCTCGGATTCGCAAGCAACAGCCATTGCAGCGCACGGCTCATTCGTCGCCGTCGGCACAAGCAGCAACGCCGTCCGGCTATACAAGGTTGATGGAAGCAACAAGCTCACTCTAGCAAGCGAGGCGAAGAACTCGGTCGCGCAGATCTCCGCTCTAGCATTCTCCAAGGACGGGTCCCTGCTCGCCGCGGGAAGCCAGAACGGCAAGATATACGCTTACAAGACGGCGGGTCTGGAGATCGCCACGGACAGGTGGTCCGCGCATACAGGCCGTGTCACGAGCATTGCGTGGAACGACGCGGGCACGCAGGCCGTCAGCGGCGCCCTCGATACGCATCTGTACGTCTGGAGTCTTGCGAAGCCGGGGGCGAGAGTCAATGTGTTGAATGCGCACAAGGACGGCGTCAATGGCGTTGCCTGGGTTGGTGAGAACAAGATTGCGAGCACGGGCGGCGATGCCGTGGTCAAGATATGGAATGTTGCTGGCGTACAATAGGAGTGAATGCGTTATGAATGAATTAGGAATGACTACATGGGCTTAAGCGAGCGGGATTCACGTATCGATAGAAAGTGGACAAAGACCGAATTAAAAGCTCTTGATTGAATGATATCGTGTATACTGAGGTAGAGACTTATTTGTACACAACAAAGAAAAACATCGACGTCGCTGTCGCCATCCCTATGAGAGAGGGAGCGCAAAAATGCTCTTTTTCAGATTTCTATGGTTGAGAATAGGAGGAATCGAAGTGGTTTAATTGACACTACGGAGAATTGTGCTAACTACGTGGGAGTATTTCATCATCTATATGAATTATCTTCTTACTTAGGTTAATCGAGTGACTGTCCCCGAGTCTCTAGTTGCACTATCCTGTTGAATTCTATTGAGATCGAGTGTGATGGGAATGGCGTTGTTATTTGTTTCTCCTATAAAGCTTGACCAACTGCTATGATCTGGTGCTTAAGCATTGTGGTATGACTATTTGGTTTTCCTACCTACATTGGCCGTAGACGGCTATTCTGCTGACTGGTCGTCATCGATGGGTTTGCATTGGCTGATCGATTTAGGTGTGAGCAGCGCTGGCGGATTCAGCAGTTCAACCGGCGGGAAATTGCTCTAGATACGTTTCTACTAAGGGTGGTGTAGCCTTGGCATGAAAAGGTCTTGACGGCGTTGACGACCTCAAGCATTTGGTGCTGTTGATTGATTTTGCGACAGGATAGCCTTCGTCAAGAAGGTCAGCGGCTTCCGTTGCCTGTCATGGGTCCTGTTAGCCTGAGTGCCTGGGAGAGCCATTACCTATTTCCCTCGAACATAGTTGTCATTGTCGTCGAGTAAACTTGATGAAATCTCTGCTGTGAACAGTCATTGACGACACTTGCCTCTAGTTTGAAGAAATGGGCTAATTGAGCAGTTCATGAGCTATCTATGACACGCATCTTCATTTAAGTGGTGTTGATCCTACAACAAGAGACTGATACTGCAAAGGATACCGACTTGCAGCCGCATGCATTAGTACTTGAGCAAGGCGGCGGTTATGAATATCTTGCCTTGGAAAGTTTTGCGCCCGTTGAATGGGAGATGGTAGGCCAACGGGTTATGTTCGAAGACGTACGAAACCCCATTGCGCATCTAACAGCCGTGGCTGAATGGATTAGTCTAGAATCGACGGTGAGGTGGTGGTACCTGAGCACTGAAATCAGGCATATCTGTCTAAAACTCGATGCGACCTTGATTGACTAGTATCCCTTGTTCGTCTTCGGGCGCTGTAGGAGGTATTTTGACTGAGATCTTCACGGAGTTCCGACACACCGGGAGATTGAACGATTAATGCACATCATGACAATTCTGTCATGAGCTCAAGGAAGCTTATGAGCGGCGTGGCCGCGCCTGGGTCATTGGCCTGCGGCGTTATGGATTCGGGGCCACTTTAGGCACTCTCATTCATCCAGGAAGGCAATCGAATCTGATGGCAGTGATGAACAAACTGTTGGCGACAATATACATCACAGCTACAAAGTAGAGGAGGAGCTGGGGGGTCATCTAGCCTTGGCAAAGTTAGAGTTGGGATAGTAAATCCGCTATTAGTAGCACCTCCTCTCAAGCGATCCTGTTTCGAGGTTCTTTGGGCAGGATTTCTTTTTGGCGCACCTGGGAACCCCAGCCAACCCTTGGATGGAGCTGACGCGCGAGAATGTGACGCAGACCTAACGAGTTCCCGACCGTACCGGTCGCCGCCATGAGCCTTGACTCCCAAGTTGACTATTCTATTACGGAGCAAACATTCACCACGTTGGCGTGTTTATTCAGCCCAAGGAATTGTATACCTATATAGAGACGTTACATTTTTTTTTTTTTTTCAATACCAATTTCGAAAAGTCAGGATGGCGGCAAAGAAGAGTCGGTGTGAGACCTGGGTGATTATGCGATTCCCTGCTGTTGGGAGGTTGGCGTGAATGGAAATAGCACACAGATAAGCAGTGTAAGTAGTGTATGCTTGGGTGTACACTAGAACGGTGGTGACAGAGTCTATGATCATCGGACGTAACACTATTTGGCGTCAGCTGGGGTCATGATTCGTGCTCGCTATATGTAAGTACTCGACGCTTCAATCCCTCTCGTGTCCATTACAGGATCACGGCACCCTGGATGTATTCGCCACTAGGGGGAGACAAGTTCAGCACTGGCTCTTTAGCATCAAAGATAGGCCAAGGGATGTGTGTTCCCTTCCATGTCACTCTATACCTACTCTATTCACCCATTCATTCTTTTCACAATGGCACCAAGCGTCCGAATAATCCTGATGGGATCTCGATTAAATGTTTGCTATAAACTCAATGGGCCTCAGGGAGGCGTGGCTATTCGGTGTGACTTGGTTGCATTGCCGAGACGCATCATGATCACTACGATGGACAAAGTCTAAAACACAAGGCAATAGTAAGGAAGCGGTGCAAGCGATGATCTGCTGGGGAGGGAGGTGGGAGGGTTCCGCAAACGGCAAGGTGGTGAATAAATGAAAGTAGTATCCGTGTTTGGCAAACGCAGTGTGGAAGTCAGGAGTCGTCTGGACTGGAGGGGCGGGTCCGTCCCCCGGAACAAGACGAGACAGACACAAGATAGCAGCACAAGACAGCACAAGACGGCACAAGAAAGGATACGAAAGGCCAAGTTTAACAGAGGTCACCGGATAGGTAGAGTGTCCGAGAGAGAGATGAGAGACGATAAGAGGATACCGATGCCTAGCGATGCCTGGCGGGCGAGGAGAGTCATGATACCTCTGTAGAGGTAGCGAGGAGAATACCGACAACAGGCTGGTGGACGTGGCTGATGTATTGGGATTCTTAAATTTTTTATTTTAAAATTCTTTTGTAGGAATATGCAGTATAGAGTAAAATACCAACAGCTCATTCAATCCATGATGTTTTGTTGTATTGTAGGTACCTACGGTATCTGCTAAGTAAATACATTGGATTGTATGAATTCCTGACCTATATTAGCTGGTATATATCGTATTGTAGATATGTACTCTGTATGTAGTGTAGTAGGCTGGAACACAGCTGATACCAGACTCGGGAATGAAGCTGGTACTTCGCTCCTCTTCCTAATCGCGAGAGGTGTCGCAAGTACTGGCCAGCGATGTCGTGTCATACTTGCCTGTCGGAGGTACATACAGTGCCTATCACAGAGGCGAGAGAGGGCGGAAGAGGGCGAGAGAGGAACGCGACTACCTCCCCGGTACACTACGCACGCTAAAGCAGGACGGAGGCTTGGAAGGTACGTACCGCTACACGTGATGGGCTGGGAATCCGAGCCAATCATCGCGTGTGAAGGGGAAGGGCTAGACCGGGTCCGGTTAGTGCACTGGGGAAATCAGGGTGCAGGGACCAGGTTGATTCTGTCATCTCGCCCTCCTACAGACCTGCACCACTCTTTTTCGCGAAGGCAACGGAGACAGCCTGGCTGGCTCTGGCTCCTCACAAATTTCCTTCAGCAGCCCAAAAGCATGAGCGAGCATCCCGTCTATTGTGCGCTGCCGCCAAACCGAGAGCAAAATGAGACCAAAGCCCCAAACTTTTAACCAAACCTCCCAAAGGGCAACAATGGCCGCCCCCATAATAATAAATCACTCTCATCACCCTCCCATCCATCACCACTCTCTTCCCTTTGCCAAACCATCATCATCATCGCTCCCAACACCACCAACACCACCACCACCACTACCACCGCCGTGAACATCACCCTCGCTGCCCTGCACCATCCCCATTAATCGCACATCGCAGACCGCCCAGCGTCTCACCAGCCACCAACCAACAGCCGGTAGTGTCGGTCCTCACCAACACCAACATTAGGTAACAGCAGCCAACGCCCTACCTACGTGCAGTAGATATTGACTGCTTCACCCGCTGCCGCTCCCATTCGTCACCTACCCAGAACAGACGAGAGCGAGAATCAACAGCCCCGGGTCCGTGGCACTAAATCCCACGTCGCCACCAGTCGCTGTCTAGTACTAACGCTGTCTACGGCTGGGCAACATCGTCACCAGCATCAGTTTCGGACTAGATAGATGGCCGTGCATCTTACCGACTAGCCAATTGCACGCGCACGCTACATCAACCCGGTCTGGCTGACTATTGCCGACCAGCATCATCATTCAAGTGCTTAGCAGAGTAGAAGCCAGTGGATCACCCTAGCATCGTGTCTAATCATCGTTTGACTGAAATCCCTTCACGTGCGACTCGTACATAAGACCACGGTTGCATCCGGTTGTCAAAAAACGACACCACACACCATCTCCCCTTCGAATCAAGGTCTCTTGGCTTCATCAGCTACAAATCATTCAAAATGGCACCCAACAGTAAGCCATCAGCCTCCAGCAAGGAGAAGGACCGCCGAAAGTCGACTGGCAAGTCGTCTACTATTGTGACGCTGCGAGTATCCTCCGACCGACTACGTAAGATACTTGACCCATCGTGGACCAAGGAGGACACTCCTATGAAAGAGTCGTCGGTTTCGTCGCCTGCGCCTCCGAATGATGTTCCTACCGCTGCGGCATCTCAAGACGATAATGCTACTCCGTCGAGTCCCGGTACACCAGCTGCGAGCGGGACTCCCTCGCAGAATCCTATGGGCCCCCCTACAGATGGCAAGAAGAAGGGTGTGAAACGAAGTGCTGCAGCTGCGAATGGTAATGACCCGACAGCTAAAATCCGAGGCAAGCCTGGCCCTAAAAAGAAAGCTAGATTGTAAGTGTTCCTAAATCAGAATTAGTATTTCTTATATGTGTTGATGTCTGCCTTGACATACTCTTTCTATTACTCGATAACGGCCTACATGTTTATTTTGATATAAATCAATTGTCTAATTTTCTTGCCAGGGAGGATGGTACTATCGACCCCAACGGACGCGCCGCGGGGAATACATATCATAAACTTGGTCCAAAGGCAAACCAGGGTGCTATTAATGCCGGTCTCCGTGCACTCGACCGCTCGGGCACGCCTTGTCGAAAATGGACTAAGGGTGGCTTCAGGTTAAAGTCATTTACCGGTGTTTTATGGGAGATTCCACGCTGGACGGCGCCCCCAAAGTCCAAGCCAGAAGCGCCTACGGAAGAACCCTCTGGCTCTGCCGACTCAAGTAACAAGGAGAACAAGGACGACAGTCAGATGAAGAGCGAGAAGAGTACCAGTAACGTGGAAGGCGAACCACTAAGCATTCCTCCCAGCGTACATGCTAGCTCTCCTACCCCCGTGGCTATTGCTGCCTCTTAAATGTGCTGCATTGAGGATCTTCTCATACCATTTTACGATCTACCGTCCGATCGTATTACCATCACGAGCGATTTGTTTTCTCTGGCGTTTGAGGAATATGGATTGACCAAAAGTACGGTGTTGCTGGCCATTGGCGTACAATTAATCAAGACGGATGGGTCGGCCAACAACAGCACCAACTATGTCTGTTGTATAGTGTAGCATCAGCAGCTACAGGCCTGTATTAAGGCGTTAATGGCTTTTACATGCGCCTTGCATCTGTCGCGCATTTGTCTGTGGATTAGAAAGGGATATAGGATTGTACAATACAAAATAAGCGTGTCTCTTCCAACTGGGCTCATACTGCCAAGCCAAGTGTTGGCGATGTCTATACTACAAATGCACCCTAGATATCGTAACTATTTATTTACGTGCATAATTGTTGTGTGTCCACGTAGGTGCCGAATTACACCATTCCTTGAATATTGTTTTCTATCGTCTCTTGCTCGCCTTGAATTGAAAACTTTGTCTTGTATATCATGCCCAAATTCAGTAGTGGGCTTACTGATGTAAACTTATTCCGATCATTCCGTGGGGGTAGGGATCAGCTAGGCTAACAGTAAGGGCACAATGCGCGCGCGGGGAGTAATGAAGCCATTACTTGGGTCAGACTCGTCACGACCGAGCGCTATGGTGTTCGGTTTTCGGTGGTAGCTATTGAGAAAAACTAAATCGACGGCCCCCCCTGCAACCGGGATTTATTGGCAGTGATTCTTGGCATGGAAAAATCTCGTTTCAAGGGTGATACTCGGGAATTTGTGAATCGACGGGAGCTCATTTTGTGACGAGTTCTTTGCGTATACTGGCGGGTAGAAGGGGTTATGTTGGTTCGGAGTGTTATTAGTGTTGGTAGGCAGTCTGGCTTACTAGTCCTTGTCTACCAAACACACGAGCTCGGATTGGATGATCGTGCGTGGTATGGACATGTAAAGTTTGAGAACACATTAATCAGTCTATAGCCACTTGTTTAGAATACATCTACATGGCTCGTATCAGCAACTACCTCGTGATCGCATTACCCGATAGCCTAGACATTTCCTCTCTATATGTATATATATATATATCCCCACAAACCATACTCCAATTCTGCCTCGAGTTTAGTTTACTCTGATCCATTTTCATTCGAGGAGTGGCGTATCTCACAAAAGCATGCTGGTGGTCACTCGACTGCTAGCTCCGGGCATCCTTGAACGAAAGAGAAACATAATTTACCATCCGTTCTCTGTCCGTTTACAGGTTCGACATGACTGAAACCAGCAGAGCATTCTCCGCTTTGAGGCGTCCCCCCCCCAACCTATCACCCGCAAAGATGGCTCAAAGCCGGCAAGAAACCCCGATCGAAGACATATACCCCTCCTATATACCTAGTACTGTAGGTGAGTATGTAGACTGGATAGGGATAGGTAGGTAGATAGGTCATATGGGCACATGATACCCTCAAAACGATCACGTACAGACTCGTTACTCGTCATGATCTTACCTAGCGTACCTAGTTATACCTCATGTCTACATATATATACACCAGTACATACATATATGCCCGCATGAATAGGTAGGTATATATCTACTTACCTATGTACATATGTAGGTATTCACTGTTACCATTCTGTACCATATGTACCTATTGACCTATTGCCATATAAGATCATAAGATAAATATATCTAACTATATCTAACTACCCCATACATACAATAGATGCCTACCTAAGTATTTATATACCATTGATCTCGGCGCAGAGACTAGGTAGTAGTAGGTAATTCGCTAACGAAGGTTTGTACTGAAGGTACCTCACGATGATAGGTTCAATGGTACAGGCAGGTATCGTTAGCAGGTATTGATGATACGCCACCACAAGGGTACCTAGGTAGGTGGGCTTTCAGGTGGATGCGGGTGGACTCATGGCTATCCTGGCAGCCAAGTGTTTCTCCGCAACCGCCGCTACGACGTCGAATCACCACTGCCTTGTCTTGTCTTGACTTGACTTACATAGTAATTGAATGGTCTACCTACATACTTAGTAACTGTTACTACTGCTATTGTTGCTATTGTTGCTGCTATTAGCATCTGTTGTATCATACCTACGCCTACGCGCCTACCAACACTCATTCTACTCGTTAGTACCTAGGTAGTCGTAAGAGTGGTGCTAACAACTGCCTACTTATTTCACTGCACCGCTGCACTGACTAACAGGCCAACGGACACTGGCCGGACACTGCCCAGCGCTGGCACATGCCTCCAACCCAAGGTCGGTAGGTAATCACGACATCACAACCGACATCACGACCGACATCACGACCAGCCATCACCACTCCGCCCTTCCCCCCTCGCCCGTCACATCTGCCTTTGGTCCCGACGTCCAACGGCTGTACATTTTAGACCTGCCGAACACCACCTCGACGGCTACCTCTCGTGCATGTTTCTAGGTAGCTCTTCCACTGTAATTGTCTCGGCTACTCTTCGTCGTCTGCTGTCGCCAGGCACCCTATCGATGGAGGTCGCCTAAAGTACATTTAATCCAAATTGTTGTTGTTAGTCCTCGTTCACCCGATTCATTCCTTCCGACACTGTGAGCCCGTCGCCTTCGAATCCTACGTCGTAAAGATCCCTTCTAAGTTATCAAGAACCTTCCCACTGTCTTGAGACCCGACGTACCCCGTTCCAAAAGACTTCGCTATCGATTGCCTGGACCCAACCGGCTCGGCCGAACTCGACTGCCTGATTTACAAGACAGCACTGGTTGCCTACTGCTACGGGCGTACAGAACACTCGCCATTGTCCTGCCATGGCCAACTCCTTTTCACATGGTTCTTCGGGCATGAATCCAGATGGGACATATCCCAGCTTTGTCCCTCGCGTGGGCAACTTTACTTCGATCGTATCCGGTTCCAACCTAACTCTTGCATCCCCCTCAATACGATCCAACCGCGTGTCGTACCTGCTGAACCCTGCCAGCGAGTCTACCTCGGATCTCTATTCCACACTACCTTCCTCACGAAGCTCTATGCTCGACGCAGAACGAACCGATCACACTCCCGATGGGGGTATCTCTAGTATGGCTTCGCGTCCTCCGCAATTACCGTCATTCTCTAGGGCTTTTGAGATGTTTATGCCCCGGGGGGGTTTAGAGGAGCCGTGGACGACGGGACAGGATAATACCGGATTTTTCATCCCATCGTATCTCAAGGGATCACCTTATATCACAAAGTTGGAAGAGGTGCATAGAGAGAAGGAAGCGCAGAATGATAGTCAACAAACATCAGGAGCTAGTCTTTCGGCAGCGTCTCTGGACAGTCCATTGAGCAAGACACCGGCATCTCACCTTGGTATGACTTACGACCTTATTGAGCGAATTCCACCGCTAGACCATACCTCGTCGGTCGCACCCTTGCCGACGCGTTGGAATATTAAGGACAAGTTTGGTGCAATAGAAGTTTCAGCAAATGGGCTGGAGGTGAAATACAACCCCACCTTGCGAACAACAAGGGAACAAGATCATGAAATGTGTGGGATACGAGCAGATCACCCTATGCCAACCCAGGCTGGTATTTACTATTTCGAAGTAACGCTGCTTTCTAAGAGAAGAGACGAGTACGAGACCCCTAATATGTCCTCCCAGCTTGCTTACTCATTCTCACGTAATGTTATGTAGGACTACCACTGTAAGTCTTGGATTTCTCGCCAAAAACGTGTCGTTAGCGAGACCTCCAGGATGGGAGCCGGACTCTTACGGCTTCCACGGTGACGATGGTGAAATTTATTCCGGTGGAAATGTGGGTAAGAAGTATAAGGACACAACTTTCAGTGCAGGGGATGTCATAGGATGTGGCGTAAATTTCCGGACTGGTCAAGCCTTTTTCACCAAGAATGGAGCAAACTTAGGTTGGTGTTTCACCCGCTTTCCCTCCATACTTGCTGTCAAGGCTAACAGTTCACATGCAAACAGGTACTGCATTTCGCGACATTAAAGGCAAGCAATATCCAGCTGTGGGTATCAAGAAAGCTGGCGAGCTTATACGCGTAAATTTCGGTCAGAATCCATTCGTGTTCAAAATCGACCAAGTCATAGAGGTAGGGAAAGAAACGACGGTCCCATATTTTACCACAGGTGTTGTGTCTATCAGTTGCTGGGTCATGTTGCTGATCTAAGGATCCATGTATAGAGGGAACAAGCTATGATCAAGCAAGCAATTTCAAGAACAAGGTGCGAAGCAAAGTCCCCAAAAATATCGATATAAAGCTTACGCTTGCAGTGTTGAAAAACTCATATCATCTCGAATGAACGAGACAGAGCTGATTCAACAGTTGGTTCGTCAATTCGTCTGTGGTAAAGAGTCAAGAGAGCGAGTTACTCACACTTACTAGGTTTTACAATTCTTACAACACGATGGCTACGTCGAAACAGCCCGAGAATTCGCCCAGGAAATACATGCCGAACAACATGCTCTTAATAGTGGCCCAAATGTCCCGGTAATGAATGTAAATATCAAGGATGATGACGATGCCCATCAGAGGCAACGTATGGCTACCTATCACTCTGGATGTAAGGCGCAAATTATTAACTGTCAATCAGGTATACGGAGAGCGGTGCTTGAAGGCGACATCGACCGGGCGTTAGCATTAACAAACACTCACTACGCACGCGTGCTTAAGAACAACCAAGATGTATATTTCAAGTTAAAGTGTAGGAAGTTCATCGAGATGATACGGAAAGCCGCGGAAAATAGTAACGGCAACGGTAAAGGAAGAAACGGCCATCCATATGATGACAATCACAATGAGATGGATGTCGATGAAAATGATCTCTCAGATACCCTGGAAGATGAATCCATGGAGTCACAAGCCGACCCTGGGCCATTATTAAAGGAAACAATTGCGTATGGCCAAGCGCTGCAAGCCGAATTTCGGGATGACAAACGACGAGAAGTTAGCAAAGCACTGAACGATATTTTCGCCTTGCTGGCCTACCCCAACCCGCTACAAGTCAAAGAAGTAGCACATATGTTGGACAGGAAAGGCAGGGTAGCAGTTGCTGAAGAGTTAAACTCGGCAATTCTCTGTAAGTTGCTATATCCCATGCATACGGCCCTGTTTCTAGCTATGGCCAATTCTAACTTACAATGTAACAGCGTCGCTAGGGAAATCATCCCGGTCGGCATTGGAAAACCTGTACGGCCAAACTAGCGTATTACTAGACTATTTACGGGAAGATGGCGGTCCGGGGTCCCTCATCTCGATACAGTCGGTGATCGACGAGATACCTAAGTCCCAACTGTTCTGAGAGTACGAGTAAGGAAAGGGAAGGAAAGGAAGGAAAAGGAAAGGAAACGAAGAAAGTTTTTAGCAAAGGTTGTAAATGAAATTCTTTCCTCCTTCTTTTTCGCCGTTTGCGAGAGAGGCGCCCGGTTGTAACAAACTTTCATCAAAGCATTAGCAAGCATAGTGATTCCAGTGGAAAGAGGGGGTGGGGGGAGGTTATTTATCATCAAGCTGGCTGGCTGGGGCTTTACCTTTTCTTGTGAAACGCATTATGATTGAGGCAGATGTAAACTACTACTTAGGCTGGCTGGGCTGGCTGGCTGGTGGACAGGCAGGCAGGCAAGCAAGCTGGGAATGACAGATAGATTAAGCACACTACTACTGTGAATTAATATCAGCGAATGAGATATATTGACGTATGATGTTGCGTAAGTTTAGGTTGTTTTCTGCGTGCGTGTTAATCCTTTGTAAGAGAGAAAATTGGAGATGGATTTGGATATGTATGTGTCTTGAATTCATTACCCAAGCAGTTGAAGCCTTGTTTTGAAAAGCCACCGGTTGATGGCTCGGTGAATAAATGCTTTGATCTTGAATTGGAGGAGTCGGTGGTTAAAGTGGTAGGTGATCGAGATGGTGGCCTAGGTAGGAAGCGCTCAGGGGGGCGGGCCTACCCTGCAAAGAAGTACGCATTGGTAAGTGGTTGGTGTACGTGGGTACGTAGGTACTTGGGTAGGTACTTGAGATACCTTGGATTTGGTGGTATATACAGTAGGTGGCGATTTCGAAATACAGTGAGTGATATGTTGGGATGGAATGGAATGCATTGATTGATGAGTTAGTTGGGTAATATTGAGGAAATTACATCGTATTACGATTGTCAGGTCGAATGGGAGATGTTTAGGAGGGAGAGGTGAAGCCTCTTTATCTGGGTATTATTAATTAACCGGGTTATGCAGCTTTATGGGAATAGATATATCTTTGTATCCGACTATTAAGACAGATGGACTGTAGGCTGCACCGGTTCAGATATGGATTCCACTGCAGCGAGAATGAAGACAGGCAGTGCCTAGGTAAGTAGTTATTCTTCTCGTGCTCCATATACCTATGGTTTTCTACCTAAAACTAGAGAGTCTTTCTATTTTTGCTTTGTCTTAATCTCAACATCGTTGTATTCACTACCTTCCTAAGCTAGGTAGGTACCTAGGTAGCTATCTATGCCTTGACCTTCCCAGCCCCTACCTAGGTACCACAGCAGCAGCACCACCTAGCAGTATCTTCAACCAAATGAGATGGTGTTCATAACGATTCACGCCAATCGAAGCCACCACCGGTTATGTCTTTTCATTCTGCTATACAGTGGGGACACTTCCCAGGTACTCATCGGAACATGACAGCACAGAGGACACAAATCACTGGCCTTCGTGGCTATCATCATGTAATTGTACGGGGAGGCAGCTTGCGGAAGACGTGGGAGAAGGAAGAAAAAGGATACAGGTTCAATGATAGTTAACTGCACTATAGCTAGGTAAGTCGATGCTCATGGCCTTCTTACTGCGTGTCTGCGACGAGTCAGCCCTACGGGCAGCCCAACCAGCCTTAGGCGAACCACTCACGTTATGAGTATCGAAAGCAAGCTGCGCGCCTTCGGTCGGCTACATCTGATTTTCTTTCCTTCTATGCCCAAGGTTTGAAACATAGGCTACAAAGAAATCATCGTAGCTTGCCATGGCTGAGATAGTTGGACTTATATCCAGCATCATCACCTTTGTTGAATTTGGCTTCAAGATTGTGTCTATAGCCAAGGATGTACGCGGTTCAGCACAAGGTACGACAGCGGAAGTCCGCGAGCTTGATCTTGTCATCGCAGGCGTCCAACACTGGAATGACCTCGTCAAGGAGCAGCACGTATCCGGGCAACTACTATCAAAAGATGAGTTGTACATACTAGAAATGGTTGACAATTGCGAGCAATTGGTAGGAAAGTTGCGAGGTTTGATAAACACACTGAAGGCGCGAGCCGATGCACGTTCACAGACATTAGAGAGTGTGCGAATTTCTACCCAGAGCTTCCTGAAACAAGCCCAGATCAAGTATCTACGATCTCAACTGGACACTATGGCTGCTCACATTCAGAGACACGTTGCAAATGCTATAGATGAGTGAGTTGGTTATGAGGATTTTGTATTGTGCCAGGGATGTGCTGACAATTCGCCTTTATGGCAGGAAGCGATACTCGTCGATATTGAAAAGTCTAGCAGAAATCCGGACATCTCACTCACGAATGGGGGTTCACCGTCAATTAAAATTAGACCTCATCCTGAAAAATATCTTGGCCTTGACAAACCAAAACCAAGAAGCGCAAGGACACCAACAAACTCAATCATACCAGCAAATAGCTGGACTTGGCGACCTTAAGAAAAGCCTAGAACAATTCCGCAAAGAGCAAAAACTTTGCGCTCAACAGCTCGAAATATTGAAGAGCCTATATTTTCCAGAGCTGCGGCGTCGCTGGAGTCAGATACCGAAAGCAGAGCTGCGGACCAATGAATGGGTTTATGAGCCTGAAAAGACATCATTTCTGTCGTGGCTAGAAAGTCTAGAAGATGGTGATGGTCTATTCTACATTACTGGTAAAGTATGTGCTAGTAAATATCTTTCCTTTCGAAATTCAATAATTAATGGCTTCCAGGCGGGCAGCGGCAAATCGACACTGATGAAATCCATCGCCGAAGACCATCGCACAGTCTGGTCTTTAAGAAAATGGGCAGGCATGATGGCGTTATATACAGCAAGCTACTACTTCTGGAATCAAGGAACTGAGACGCAGAAGAGCGGTCGCGGCCTTTTTCAATCTCTATTGTATCAGATTTTTCGACGAATTCCGGAGCTTATTATACCTGTCTGTGGAGAAGACTGTCTGGGTCACGAATTTTAGGAGATGGATGATTTGAAGAAGTATTCCAAAAGTTGGCGCAAGAAACTAGGCTTCATGCTAAATTTGCTTCTTCATTGACGGGCTTGACAAATATGGTGGAGAAGAGAAGGACATTGTCCAACTTTTCCAAGTGCTCACTACCATCCAGCATATCAAAATTTGCGCATCAAGTCGGCCTGGACGTCAATACGAGGCCTTCTTGCCGCATAATGATCGCTCCTTTGATATCGCCGAGTTCACGAAAGAAGACATGAGAATCTTTGTCGACACGAACCTGCAAGCTAGTACTAGGTGGAGGCAGTTGGTGGTCGAATCTGAACTCGCATGCCGAGATATCATCCATATGATATCGACTCGGGCGTCTGGCGTCTGGATCTGGGTTTTTCTCGTCACCAAAGATATCGTTAGGGAAGCAGAAAAATGTGAAGGGGTTGCTACTCTGCGAAGGATCGTCGACAGCTTTCCAGACGATTTATATGAATATTTTGAACGGATGATCAAACAAATCCCGAAGCTACATCGTGAGCAGATGGCACAGATATTCCTCATCATGATGGAGGCGCTTCGACCCCTACCATTGTATGCTTTTTCGCTGCTCGAAAGAGAAGCGGAAAATGAGAACTATGCGATCTACGCTCCTATCAGGCCTATGGAAGAACAAGAAATCGAGTTGGGGTATGTTGTTATGAAAAATCGAGTTCGGAATCGCTGTGGTGATCTTCTTACCATCCATGAAGAAGACTTAGATTTGCAGTCATATTTATGGAAAAGTGTGGAGTTCCTTCATCGAACGGTTGCTGACTTCTTGAGAGAGTACGAAAAGCAACTAAGAACGTACCTTGAAAAGAAGTTTGACCCTCTAGTATCTTTAATGAAAATTTACCTCGGCCTTTTAAAAATGACACCTACTCAGGGCTACGGTAGATATGAGGTCATTGGTTTCACAGACGAGGTGCTGTTATATGCCCACGAATTCGAGAAGATGGACAGCTTAGAGGAGGAGACCATCCTAGTCCCAACACTTGATGAGTTGGATAGGGTCATCAGCTATCATGTCTGCGACAACGATTGGCACTGGACCAATGAGCGACAATTTCATTACATGGGGAGGCATCTTGTATGGGAGTATGAGGAGGGCGGGCAGTGCAACTTCCTAGCGTTGGCCGTACAAGCACGTCTCGTCAAGTACGTGCGTTTCAAATTGGCAGCAGACCAGCGTAACATGATAAAACTGGGGAGGCCTTTGTTAGACTACGCACTTCGTCCATTCAGGTCGACGCTCGAAGTATATACGCAAGACCGTTCTGGTGAGCTAGATCACCCCATTGACATCGGCATGGTTGAGCTTCTACTACGCAATCGCGCAGATCCAAACCAACCTGTTTCTGTGAATGATAATAAATCGGTCTGGGTCCTGTTTCTTGAGTCAATGCGTTCGATGATGTCTTGGATGGAAGACAGCACTATCAACGTTGAAGATATGAAACAGGCCTGGTATCAGGCTGCTCATCTACTCGTCAAAGCAGGTGCACGCGCTGACTGTCAGATAGACATGGGCGCATCCCACTGTCTTATTGAGATTTTTGGACAAGAGAAAGCAGCCATACTAACCCAAGGAATGAAGCAGAGAGAGGCAGAGAGAGAGAGGAAACGGGAGGGAAGACGGGAAAGAGAAAGAGAGAGTGAACGAGACAGGGCGAGGCGCCGCAGTCAACCCGCCCGTGCGTTCCGATTCAATTACAAGAAAGAAGACTTGTCTGCTTGAAAATATACTCGATATAGATGCCAAATCAAACATGGAGCCTATAAGGTAATGTGTAGAATAAAATCGTCACCAACACGTATCAAACTCTTGTTCCCTTTTAAGGTGTAGAACTACCTTCAGCGTTAACATGGAAGATTACAGCATCTGAAGACAACATTGACGAGTGCTTGCTTATATGATAGGATACATGTTTCCACTACGCCTTAGTTTCGCAACCTATGAAACTCCTAACCAGACTTTGTAGGCTACCCGAATGAGCACGGAATCTAAATATGTAAATTATTTGGATGAAAGCCTCACGATGATTCTACATGTAAATATACCTAACGTTAGACATGTGAAGTCGGGATCGTTTCGCGAAAACGTGGGGTATACAGCAGGGATACAGGGGTTAGCTAGCGCACGTGAAAGGTGATGTCAGGTACCGGTAGGTAGTTTCAAGGGTTCGGTACGCTAGTGTGTATGCTAAGGGTTGGAAAGTTACAGCGGGCATCAGCCATTCATCTTCTCATCTTTCTCATCAGTCACACACGAAGCCAGACACGACAACTTCACCTACTCTCTTGCCTCTAATTCGGAAGCCCACCTAGGCTGTCAGCGGCTCGATTCAAGCTCACCATGTCGAGGAAGCAAGTAAAAGGAGAGTACATCGAGACGGTAAGTAAGCTCCAACCCACACCAGACCCCGACTAACATATCTTCGTCAGGACACTGGCAACAAGGTTGCTCGAAAGGCCGTCCTCGTCGGAACCCAACACATCATGCTCGGAGGCAAGACCATCATCCAAGCCGACGCAATGATCCGAGGAGATCTCGCACGCACCTCGCAACCTGCATCCACGCCGGGCGCTGCACCTGGGAGTAACACGGCCGTGGCTATTGGGCGGTATTGCTTCCTCAGCAAGGGCTGCTGTTTGCGCCCTCCCGGACGCATATACAAAGGGTTTGTGGATCTCTCCAGCACCACTATCCGCATTTTTCAAGTCCCATGTAAGATTCAGGCTCTCTAACTTGCCATCACCCCAGATCCTTCACGTACCTCCCCCTCCGACTAGGCGACCACGTCTTCGTCGGCGAAGGCACAGTCGTCCAAGCCGCCACCATCGGCAGCCACGTCCACATCGGCCAGAACGTCGTCATCGGCGAATTCGCCATCATTAAAGACTACGTCCGCATTCTCGATGGCGCCGTCGTCCCACCCAACATGGTAATACCGAGCTTCAGCATTGTCGCGGGACAGCCCGCTCGCGTCGTCGGTGAGATCCCTGAAGGCGGCCACGACGCTTTCGAGCTTAGGGAGCTCTATAAGACGGTCGGCAATAATCCGCAGCCGTTACCCGTGTGAAGAGGGATATGCGAGACCTTTTTTGCTCGAAAGAGTCATATATGCCAGGCCTAGACGGCCACGAGAAGCGAGTTAGGTCACGACTGGACAGAAGCATTCTCTTACTACACATCGAGGGCTCATTTGAAGAGAACACCTTCACAGCGCACGAGATATATCTGCGAGGATCCCACTGATAAATAAGAGGAGCTACGAAACGTCGCCAAAATTTACGATTGGGAAGCATCTAGCTCACGGCAAAGATGGAAAACACGAACGAACTCAACATGCCTTTGTCGCTTCAGGCATCAGCTAGCCGACAAGACTTCTATTACGAAAACGTTGTTGGCTCAGCACCTCACGAAGCCAAATTGAGCGACGAATCACACAAAACGTACCGGCTACGCGGATATTCAATACAGTTCGTGTCCCAGTTATGTCTCGCCGACCTTGTAGAGGCGGAAATGCCCAAGGCAACAATCCGACTTCAAATGTGGACAATTTCTAAGCATACAGGTCAACACATCTGGTATCCCGCGCATCTTCACACATTCAAGCTCATGTTTCACTTCGATGGAGTTCATCCACAAGGGGTGATAAAATATATACATGTGAAATTGATAAAAGCCGAACTACTACCAAATCTCTTTCCCTACAATGTTACCCGAGCCAAGCATTCCTTCCCGTCTATATCAAAGAAACAGAAGATTGTGTGATGCCTTCCTTTGGCTACCTAGATCAGGTAGTTTCTGGGTTCCCTTTCACTGATCCTGCAAATAGAAGGAACGTCCATCCCTCAAACAGGTCGGGCGAGCAGGAAAAAAAACTTGATATGTATGTGATCAAGAGATTGGTATCAGGATCAAAGTTGGAGTTGATTGGTTACATGATCGAGCATGCGCCGCTGCTCGTATTCTGACCGTCTTGCAGGGACCCGCCCATGCCGCTGTCAGAATCAGAGAAGTCGAAAAGACCCTTCTGGGGGGTCGTCTTCGTGGGTCGTCCGCGAGTTGCGTTCTTCATTTTTTTAATGGGTTTGATTGATCGATTGATTGATTGAGTGTAGTGATGGTGTGAATGCGAAAGTTTGTTGGATTGTGTCTTGGTTCAGGGAATCAAGTTCATCGTAAGACAGGGCGAGCTGATGGTGGGTTTTATATGATATTGCACAAGAGTGATCTGTTCAAAGGCGCCAGATGCCCTCTTGAATCTGGGCCGATATTCATCTCATGACATCCTCGTAATGACTAGATGACTATGGGATCCTTTGAATACATTCTTTGTCCATTTATCCCTATCTTATAAAGCTTTGTCAAATGTGGTATATTTAGACTTCGTGCACCCTCTTATCCTTATCTCACACCCGTTGTGAAAGAAGGTTTGTTGTAGGGGCGGTGCGATGATGACAATGACATGTACAAAGTTATCAAAGAAGTTCATTATCGAATTTTAGCTACTATTGGCCATCGGAACGACAGTTGTTGAAAGTGACTTGTCCTGAGCGGGATGGATTACGATGCGCGAAAAGCTACCCCTCCCCTCTAAGGTAAAAAAGCCTTACCCAGCCTAACACGCCGCTCACGCCACCAGTTGCATTTGCTAGCCTGGCTTAATCTAGTTATTTTAGACAACGAAACGAGACATATTCATTGGCATCGATGACTATCAAATTGTTGAAAGAGTCGTATTCTCTCTGGTTGGTTACGCGGTTCGCGGAGACTACCATCGTCTGTCTCTATGTAAGCAAAAAGCACTGACGCTCAAAATGGAATTCGGTCATTTAGTCGGTCAGCGTCGCAACAGGATCAATTCTCAACAAGGAAAACCCGAGTATCGTCCTAGAAGTTCTGCGAAAGAAACGATTGGAAATGAAAATGAAAGATCACGCAAGTACTCCTGTCTCGTCTTTGTCGATTTCGGTTGCGGTAAAGCTAAGGCACGGAAGAGAGCAGGGTCTACTTACCTAGGGTAGACACGTCGTCTAAACAAAGTGCGATAGAAATTCCCCAACGAACTAATTGTTATGATAATGATGACGTGTAAAAGTAAGTGTCTTTCTAACTCTGTATAGAAAAAGCTGGAGGTCTAGATCAAATGGTATCGGTATTCGCCGTTGAATTTGTAGTTCCAAGACTTGCGTGCTTACTGTATATTCGCCATTACTAGATATATACGGCACGATGCAAGCCTCGGTTGCCGGATCGTAAGCTAAGCATCCATAGTTATTTGCGAAGGGCGTCGTCTAATCCCTATGGTGGCCTTTTGATATCATGTAGAAAGGATGATGAAATAACGGTGTCATCATCTCACGAAGACTTGGGAAATATCTGCCGAGATCCCCGCTTGGAGTTACGAGATTTGCCCCATCGAGATCAACCAGAGGACCGATCATACCAGTCAGACGCGTCTGGCCAGTCTGACAAACTCTTTCCCGGCTGTTATTCCCACCTTGCCGGTTCTGACAACCAGTTACCATTGATAGTCATCTGGATATCTTTCCACAACCAGGCGTGTGATCACAACAATGAACGGCACTTCACCCACCAAGCCCTTCAACCTCGCTATTGTCGGGGGAGGTATTACTGGCCTCACACTGGCAATTGTCCTCTTGCAGCACAATGTCCAATTCACAGTCTACGAGGCGGCGTCCAAGTTTGGCGAGATTGGCGCCGGGGTCGGCTTTGGTCCCAACGCCATCAGGGCCATGAGTCTTATATCTCCATTGGTGCAAGAGGCGTACCAACGCTGTCGGACAAATCAATGGGAGTCGAAGCAAAACGTTTGGTTTGGTGCGAGGGTGGGTGATATGCGCAAGGCTGGAGATGACGGTACCTTCGAGTATGCGGGACGACCGGGGATGAAGATTGGAGATGAGATGTTCGAGATCCATTACCCCAACCTCGAGGATATCAGCGGCGTTGGAGGTGTACATCGTGCACATTTTCTTGATCAGCTAGTACATCTCATTCCGTCGTCCGTGGCACGCTTTGGAAAGCGACTAGTGGATGTATCTGGAGCAACCGATGGTTCAGAGGACGTGGTCTTGCACTTTGCAGATGGGACGACAGCTCAACACACAGCCGTACTTGGCTGCGATGGTATCAAGTCGCAGACGCGGAAATCGCTCTTGGGAAGTGACACCTGGAATGCCGTTTTCTCTGGAAAGTGCGCGTATAGGGGTCTAGTGCCGATGACAAAGGCCATTGAATTACTAGGCGAGGAGAAGGCTATGAACAGTCAGATATACTTTGGCTATCATGGACATATCTTGACCTTTCCCATTGAAAAGGGGAAGACTATGAATGGTATGTTGATGAGTTTGTGTCTTACTTAAACTATTCCTTCTAGGAGATTTTGGCTTACATGTTATTAATAGTTGTGGCTTTCGCCTCTCGTGAATCGTGGACAACCCCTGAATGGGTCGTCCGCGTTACCAAAGAAGAGCTGCTAGCTGATTTCCGGACTTGGGGTCCTACGGCAATCGCCATCATCTCAGCCATGGAACGACATGATGTCTGGGCTCTATTCGATCATCCGCCAGCCCCGACATATTATGGAACGAAGCCACGTATCTGTCTAGTCGGCGACGCCGCACATGCCACCACTCCGCACCAGGGCTCTGGTGCTGGCATGGGGATCGAGGATTGTTACATTCTTGGGAACTTGCTTGGGGAAGCGGACTCGGTCGAGGATCTGGACAGGGCGTTCAAGGCATATGACGAGATCCGACGTCCAAGGACGCACAAACTCGTCACAACGAGTAAGGAGGCGGGTCGGTTGTGGGATTTCGAACTCGAAGGCCACGAAGACGACGTAGATGCACTTCAGCGGAACATGGAGAATCGAATGCATTGGATCTGGAACCACGATTTGCGCGCTGAGCTGGAAAGGGCGAGGGTAATCTTTAGGCAGCCAGCTTGATGCTGTGCGGTAGTATTTTGTAGGATTAGAGAACTTGAGGACAGGTTACGATAGTGACAGATGTTGCTTAGCACTACGAGGCAATCACCGCCTATTCCCTGGAAGGCTTATGAAGATGTGACTGCCTTGCCAGTCAGATATCTGCTTGCATTACCAGAGAAGGCATGAAGCACACACCGTACCTACCTACTAGGTACCTACATAAGGTAGGTAGGGGCAGCAAAAGCTATGGCAAGTGTACCTGCTGCTTGATCGATCATGTTGGGTATATTGTACCTATACTAAGAGGTAAGCATCCACGATGGTAAGTGTAGATAGATACGCAGGCATGCCTACCTCAGCGTACACCTATACCACTACACCGAATTTCCTGTTCTAGGAGGCACTCGGTACCTACCTCATGTCCCAGAACTTCAATGTTTCTGTACCGGGATCCTACTGACTCTCGGAAGCACGGGAGTCAGGCGGTCGCGGTGCCGCCGGTCCCTGATGCATCATGTACATAGGTCGGGGGTCGCTGCAGTCAGACTTGCATCGGAGCCGACAAGAGCGCCTAGCATCTTTGCTCAAAAGGAACCAAGCCGGCGCATAGATGGGGTAACAGAATACGATGGCCAAAGCAGACGTGATTCTTCTGACGTCTTTCCCGTTCGGGGTGGACGTTCATCACCCATAGACCCAGCATGGCTCAAGTCCTGCATCCCTAAGCAAGGCATGGGGCTATATTCTGGCCCCCATCTTTCAGCGCAATAATTGCCGCTCAAAGCTGCTGATGAAATGAAAGCTCCCGTCTAGACACAGATTCGGCAGCAGGTGAAATGAAATCAGGTCATAGTGACGTTGGAAGAGAGAGAGAGAGAGGTGAGTCATTTCTCAAAGGTCTCATCGGCCCGCGCCTTGCTTGCTCACCGCGCACAGTGTATCATATCAAGGTCCAGACAAAATGTGAAAGTCAGTATCGGATGGAGTATCCATTATGATGTTGATTTGTCTAGAAAGAGGTATGTGTTTATGTGTTCGATGGAAAATCTACATTAAGACAATATATATTACCAAGTCAAAAACACGAGGTGCTAATTTCGAAACAGACTCTCATGTGGTTTTTCACGAGCCGTCTCAAACAATTACATATGCAATTATTCGCTAATCCACCATCAGTGGCTGTTTTCAACATTTGTTGTACAACAGTAATGGTTACTAGGCCGCAATCATCATATTGAATCAGAGACTATGTCTCTTGTTCTATAAACATCTTCGTTGCTGGGCCCACAAACTACGCTTCGCTTATAGTTTCCCATATTCCGTGCTGATCTCGTATACGGGGTTATTGTCTATGATGTCCACGAATCGGATCGGCTGCTGTTGGTTCTGCTGTGGTTCTTTGCTGCATAGGCTAGCGCATAGAACTTTGCAGGACAGCAGACGATATCAGGGTGTTTAGAACACGCGACATATTCCAGACCCGTTTGTCTCCAAAGACGGGATTTGCCTTGGGGTACCAAACGGATTACGTTGTACGAATACTTCGCCGGTTGATTTTTTCACATCGCCGACTGCAAGTCAGATCCCGTCGGCTCAAGCACCCAAGACAGAGGGTGAAGCAACAACGAAACACAATCACAACTGTGAAGAATGCCACAGTCACGTATTGATGTTTATTGGGGGGTCGCTTTATGAGATTCGTACATACATCAACAGAGGACGTGGCGTTAAGCTAGTGGGATGTTATAACCAAAGAACCCTAACAACAAGAGAGCATACTTCCTGCTGTTGGTCAGAGCCGCAGATGTACGGAATCATGTGAACCAGTCACTCGATTCGAGAACCACAGATATACTTGGCCGTCTCTACACTGCCCATACCTGCGCCAGAGGTGTCGCGGCAACGAGTAGAAGCACTGAGATAGTACATGCAGAGTGTGGAACCGAGGCGCGCAAGGTGATCCAGCCGGCCTGTTAAACGACCTCACCGATTTTTTCTATGATCTTCTGATCTCGGCCGTACTTGTATATGGTAGAGCGAAAGCCGGGATACGTCGACTATCATCCATCGACGGAAGCGCGATTATTGTAATGATTAGGCGAGTTAAGCTGTCCCACCGTTGACCAAGATACTACCTTCCAAGAGAAGGAAGTAAGGAAATACTTGGCGAAGAAACGGGAGCGTTAACTGTCGGCTGGTAACTAGGTAGGTTGAGGTTTAAACGGCACTAGAAACGCTGTTAAGCGCCGCTACTCAGACCAAATTGGCCGTGATTGGTTATGGTCACGCCACTACGGTGGTTATGGTCGGGTTTAGGCATGTTATGTGAGCTCGGATCTCTTGCCCGACGGCCAACAGAACCTACTTAGATAGTGTATATTCTTATTCCAAATGTACAAGAGACTACCTGGTAGGTGCATGTGATAGAGGGAGGGGCTACATCTCTGTCTACCTACTTAGATAGGCCGTTTGACTATACCGTAGAGTATACAGCAGGTGGATAGCCTGAGGCTTCTGGTTGAAAGCGACCAGACAAGGCTATCACTACCTTGTGAGCACAGCTAATAACCAAGTAGTCATATCACGCGTGATATATCTACATGGCAGGGTAGAATGGATGAACTCTTGCTATGTCTCGGAGCATTGCGAAAATTCAATCACAACCACATCTTGGAATGTGCCACTGGCAGGATCGTGACTCTATCCTAGTGAAACTCGTTGTTTCGACCATGTGGATCGGTGATAGTCAAAAGCCTACCTGGAATATGTGACGAGGTCAAAAATGGGAGATATCTCTATGCTAGGTGTACGTAATTGGAAGGGGTGAAGTTGCATACGATCTCGGCGCAGTGTTGGCGGTGGTGGTCATCAAATGGACCCTTGGGTATGAAAAATGACGTTCTTGAAACATTTGAAGCATCCTCCTCACTCCCGTTACACAATGCAAACTTAGATGAGTGCCGAAAATCTTGTCTTATCAGCAAAGAGCCTCTGTCGCGATTAAATGAAAGTGTTTCGATACTTGCATGGGGGTTTCAACTCAAGATATGTTGTGAACCGAACTAGAAACATTCAAGATTGTTAGGGGTAGCCCCAAAAGAAAAGCGTAAAGCCCCCAATCATACCCCAGAAACACGGGAGGGATATAAATCCTCAATGTCCAAGACGATCTTCACGATCGCGATAACTGAGGAAAAAGCTAAGCTACCTAGTCGCAACGTAAGTATCGCATCCCGACTTCAAGTGACAGTAGAGTTGTGTATGCTCATCTGGAATGATACATTCACGTAGATACCTCGTATCATCGTAGGTTTATCGTTCCCAAGATTCGAGAATTCGGGATCGGCCCGGACCAATGGTAAAGTTGGGACCAGATGCAAGCGAAGCACGTGCTGGGGGACATCGTGGAGGAGGCGATCATTTCACATATTAACCGGGATGGTCAACTAATGAATGAAACAGAGACATCCAGAACATGGTGATCCCAGTTTGCGCTCGGATCAAGATTTTAGTGAGTAGTAAGAATTTCGTGTGAATCCAGCGTAGTGTACATAGTAGGTATACTATTGAGTAGCTATATGTCTTGGAGTCTCGATCCCCTGCTTTGGAGCGTTTCGACCCTGCAGTAGTGCGCGATGGTTCGGAGAGCAGCTTACCAGCACCAAGTGTAGTGCAGCGTACAGGCAGGTAGTGTAAGTAGGTATGCAGTCCGACGACAATAGAGAGCGATTCGGGATACGAGATACCGCCTTACCCATCAGTGCAACGCAGACCAAGATGTCCGTTCTCCTGAATTGATTGCCACGAAGGATCTTCAGCCTTGAGGATGATGATACCCACTAACCTTAGTAGAGTCTCCTGAGCACAGCATATTCCTCGCGATATGCTGACAAACATAGATGATACACCTCCTACTACTAGACTACTCCGTAGACAATACAGGTAGATAGCAGGTAAGTTGTAAATACCGTAACGGGTACCTAGGTATGTAAGTATGATGAAGGAACGGATAAGCCGGCTTATAGTATACTTAGTAGTGGTCTGGAACTCGAATTGCAGATAAACCCCCGGCAATCAGCAAGCAATGGTAATCAATTACTCATTACGCGTATAAAAAAAAAAAAAAAAAAAAAAAAAAAAAAAAAAAAAAAGAGCGCCTTGGGCAACGGCAGGTTTCTAACTCCCGAACGATAACAAGAAGCAGGCTGGGAACTATGGGGAAAGTGGCGTGGTACACTGCAGGGTCCCATTACCTGAGTCTGAGCTCAGGCTTGCAGGAACCGGCGCACGTACAGTGTTGATATTGTTATACTCATACTGGACGGAGAACTGGACTGCCAAATCGTGGAGCGTAGAGGGGTTATGGGGGGTTGACTTGAGATAAAACTCGACTGAGAACTCGACTGAGATTATATCAAGGGAGCATTCGAAACATATTGACGACAATGCTCTCTCGATGAAATCAAGCACGCGTTTACAGCGGAGATGAGTACAATACTTATAGTATGTCCGTTCAGAGTCGGCTAATCGACCACTCGCGACTGATTCAGCCCACACCTCCTGCTGGACGGTGCATGTCAGGTCCCGTACCTAGTACGAAGTACTACACGTAAGGATGTTGTCTGCCGTAGCTAAAAGACTGCCCACTATACAACACTTCCTATATAGGTGTAGCGCAAGGAACGTAACGGGCCTCAGCTGCCGATAAGTTGACAACTATGGCCGTCGGTCAACGAATCGAAGGACGAGTTACTCTGAATGTGGAGAGCTCAGCTGGATAGACGCGCGCTGTTGGAACAAACGGCTACGAATGGCTCGGTTAACTAGAAGCAATTCCCATAACAATCTTCATCTCGTGTAGGTAGGTAGGTAGGTAAGTAGGCAGTCAGTTCAGCGTAATCCTGGAAGGCCCTACGATACCCTATCTCAAGAGATAAGGCAATTTTCTTCTTTGTCTTACACAGTCCTTGCCTCTCCAGCCTTCGCTACCAAGACCACCATGACCGTATCAAGCTTACCAACCCGCCTACCTATTATTCGATGCTGTATGTTACCATTTCTCCTACCCACACCAGCTATCTCATTGTATGATGCGTCCTTTCCCGATACCTAGGTAGGTAGTATCTGTACTACGGTATCCAGTAGGTAGGTAGAGGCAGGTAGGACCGACGTAGAAGTGAGCGTACAGTGGTGTACATGGATCCCCCAGACCCAAGCAACACTTTCTCGTCGTTGCCCCGTTTCGGTCGCCAAGAGGCGGCGAGATCTTGGAGCACACACCTTCACCCTACCTACGCTAGTAAAGGCCGTTTCAGTCCCATCCTGTCCTGTCCACCACGCTATCATGAACGATGCAACCATTTCCAGCATGGTCGGTCAGTTGGACCTACATAATATCGAGCTGCAATAGCAGGGAGCTGCGTACTACTGCGTAGAGTATGTAGCCAGGTAGGGATGCTCTATGCCACCTTAAGGTACCTCTGTACGGAATACTATGCTCCTGGTTCGGATTCCTTCGAGCCCAAGGTCTCGAGTGAAGGGGGTGAAGGGGAAGGGGGTGAAGGGGAAGGGGTTGGAGGGGACCGACCATGTTTGTTAAAGCAAAACGGCACTTTTGAACGGGTGGATGATGTCTGACTAGACGAATGAAGCATTCAGCAAACAGATATAAAGCCGAGACTTTCCCTCCGGCTCATGGAAGCAAGAGGATACGATAGGTACGTGTAGGTATAACAGCAACAGCAACAACAACATCGTCGTCACCATTGCTACCAACCACCCGCTCTTCGTCCCTCATTTCTCTCTTGGCCTCCAACTTGATTGGTGCCGTCTACAGATTTTATTCAGTGTTCGATTGATTCGCCATCTCTGGTCTCAATCTCGGCTCGGGATACCTGCATCTTGCATACACTAGCATACGACACTAACCTTTGGGTTGTATACAACGCGCACCCTCACATATCAAATTTATATATAGCACCACACACTCTTTGTCTAAGCGCCCGCCGGCCACCCGCAACGGCCTCAACCCATCTAGAAGATACATTGGGAGACCCAGCTGCCGCCTAGCCATCCTTGTCCGCTCCACCGGCCCATATGCGCCACGGCTGATCTGTAAATTCAATATAATTATACACCTACTGCCACTCTGCAGCTGCTTCTCCCGTTTCTTCTCACAACACCACAGTTATATCTTCTTTTTTTTTCTTGTCAAACTTGTGTGGGTGACGTCCATTCATATTGAAGCTAGAATCAATACGAAGAGTGGAAAAGAAAAGCAATAAAAGAAACAGGAAAGATGCAGTTTCAGGGCCTGTTCGTTTTTCTATCGGCTTTGACCGTTATAACCGCCACACCTCTACACAGGCGTTGTGAGCCCCCAATGCCCACATTGCCCTTGACACCAAACCACAGTGTTACCTATATTCTGCCAAGTACTGGTGGTATGTTATAAAAACCTTGCAGATACCGAGCCTCTCATAGAGAATCAGTACTGACAGATGACATAGGTGCTACTGCCTTACCGTCGCCCGACACACCACTCAAGCACATAGCCGTCGGCCATGGTGTTCAGAATTATACTTGCACCACAGCCGGCGCTGCTGGTGCTGCCGCTGGTGCTCTCGCGGTTCTCTACGACATCACGAGCCTCTACCCTGGCTCTACCCCCCCAGGCCTTTCATCTACTAGCTGGGACAACTTGACAAGCAAGATTCTGCGTACAACAAGTATGCCCATAGACACAAGCAACCCGTCGTCGCCATTCCCACCAGACGCAGACCTCACTGTGGGCGGGATCATGAAGCCTATTCCATTCCTGGGCCACCACTACTTCGACGGCTCGGGCGTACCGACATTCTCTCTCCACAACGATGATGAGCTCCTCAAAGCACAGAAGATCCTTAACATCCCGGCGCCTTCTACTGCCGACAAAGGTCTCTCCGATGAGGGTGCTGTCGATTGGCTTTACCTTAGCGACAAGGGCGGCAGCATCGGCCTTACCAAGGTCTATCGCGTGTTGACGTCTGGCGGCTCCCCAGCTGTTTGCGGCGCTGTTGGCGATACTCAGAGCGTCCCCTATACGGCTATGTACTGGCTCTACTGAAGGGGACACAGAGGCTTATAGTTCTATTGACGACAACGTGAACTAAGATCAAGGGGATCAGATGAATGGATGAAAATTAATTGATAGGCATTTGATGGCGTTTGGACAGAGGATACTGATTTTTTCATTTCTACAACTCATTTCGAGTTGGAATCATCGCACTCACACATACATACACCAATGCGCGCATAATCGCGAACCAACACATACGACACGGCAAAAAGGGGTGCCTGACTACATACCTCATGGTTTCACTTCTACACATTCATTCCCATCACGCATGGCTATGCGGATAGATAAAGGTCGGCCTGCAGTTTTTTTTTTTATTCATTCACTTTCGGAAAAGGCTTTAGGTTGTGCGGTTACAACCTAGCAGGCTGGTCGGATATACCCTGGGTAACCCTTCTACCCCCAATCCTTGTCATCGTCTTATCTGATTGAGACAGACGAGGTGAAATGAGAGACATGTGTATATAGGAGAATTTTTAAACATGGAAGAACGCATGAATAGCGAGAACTTTTGCGTCTTGAAAACAATACTGTCAAAGTATTTTCTAGTGTTGATATGCCTCTTCCTAGTTATGATGTTTCACGTATAAGAATCTTTCCAGGACAGATTTGCCTTAGCTAAGTTCGTATGTAGGTAGCAACCTGACGTAGCATTCGTTGCTCTTCATTCGGAGAAGGGGGTTGCCGTCTTCCGCTGTATGCTTGGTCTGATTGATTAATCCATTTGAATGATTCGCTCTCTTCCTGCTGAAATAATAGCCTTAATGGGAAAGAACATTCATCTTATCCCTTCCTTTTCTTCCTTTCTTGCTTCATTCTTTTCTCGTCTCGCCTCGTCTTTTGCTCCTCGTCGCTTTGAGCGAATGTAGTTCGGCGGTTAGCTGCTGTCGCTGATACGTGCGTGTGTATGGTGTGTAGGAAATCAGGACTTGGCTTTGCCTTACCTGACACACATACACACACACGGCTTGGCTTGATTGATTGATTGATGGAAGATGGATAGTAATTGTGGCTGTGTTATTAATATCGCGCGCGTTTGGCACTTACTTACTTACTTACTTTTTTGGTTTACCCCGGATTTTATATGCAGGATGTAATACCTATGTACTTATGTAAACAGTCATGCGACGCAAATCGAGTCACGAGGATGAGATGTATAATGAGATTCCGCGCAGGGAGTAAGTAGATGGGTGACCTGTGTACTGAAGTGTGGTTTTTCATAATTGGGGGGGAAATAGAGAAAGAGTGAGTGCATTCAAGCTCTTTTTTACACTTCATCTAGTCAGTCGGCCAAAAGAGTCGATCCTCGCCTTGTAATTCTCCAACCTACAACGGGGGAGGTTGAGGGCCAGAGTAGACGAGATATTAAAGACATTATCCAGAACATATCCCAGGCAAAATACCTCAGGAATGGCTGTCGCAGTATGTGCTACTGATAAATATATATAAATATTATCTTTTTTTAATTTTGTCATCTAATTTCCTTTTTCCTTTTTTTGTGGGGACTAAATTCCATAAGAAAATAAGAAAAGAAAGGAAAAGAAAAAGGGCGCTCCTGCAACTCCCCAACCCAAGAATAAGTGCATCTTCAGTTCAGCTCTAAACCCAAACTATCTGGAAAGTTCGAGATAGATAAATGATCATAAAGTGAGCTCAAGGGCAGTCCCGCCTATATGAACAACCTTCTAGATTGGTAACACATTCGCTGTTGGCCATAGCTGACACCAATTGTGCCGCTCTCTCTCCTTTTGCCTGTGATTAAAATGGCCCATAATGCCCCTATTTTAGAGTTGGAACATATATATATTTCAACACGTCGACTGCTCCAGATAGGAGATGAATCCTTCCCATCAGTCTTGTCACCTTTTATCGTCTACCAGCATCCAGCCCAGCCTGAAGCTCGCCCTCGAGACTTCCGACCTGGCCTATATACTCTTGTGGCCGTGGGTCTTCGGCTCTCCATTGGCTTCCACCTTCTGGCATCGGTACTTGGCCGGGTTGTGCAGGTTGTACGCCAGGCATCTGTGCAGCAGTGTTTGGATCGGTTCGGACATGCTGTCTGAATCGGAATACCTCTTCCATAATCATCTTGCGCATGTCTCCGACGTCATCAATGACCTCAAAGTCGAAGTTGAAGGTGGTTGGGCAATCAGGCTCATCTGAAGCATCGTGCCATATCTGTAAATAAGGATGCTCGAGTGCGCGCTCGACGCTGATACGTGAAGAGGGATCGAAGGCCAGCATGTGATCTAGGAGGTCTAGTGCGTCGGGGTTGGCATTGGGGAATAGTGTTGGGAAAGGCTTTTTAGGCATGTATGGTAAATTTCGGACATATTCCTGAGCACGAGATGATCCAATACGGGATAGTGTCTCCTCGTTCGGGGTTCCCAAGATATGAAGAATTTGGTTTAGTTGGTCGACATAGTCACGACCTTTGAAAAAGGGTCGTCCTCCCAAAAGCTCGGCAAGAATACAGCCCACAGACCAGACATCGACTATGATATGTTAGCAAGGATATCGCAAATGACCTAGGACTTGACGATTCTCGTAGGTATAGTTGTGACGTACTAGCTTTTGTATAGCTTTGGAAGCTCAACATAATTTCAGGAGCACGGTACCATCGCGTAGCTACGTATTCAGTCATATATCCTGCATTCTCTTCGGGGTCGACAGAGAAACCGCGGGCGAGACCGAAATCACAGATTTTAAGTTCGCAGTCTGCATTTACCAGCAGATTACCGGGCTTTAAGTCACGGTGTAGGACATTTGCCGAGTGAATGTATTTGAGGCCGCATAGTATCTGGTAGATGAAGGATTGGAAGTGTGCGTCGGTTAGGGGTTGGCCGGAGCGAATGATGGCAGCCAAGTCGCATTCCATCAACTCTGCCCAGCGATATTAGTATCGTCACCTCAACCTGTCCAGACTGTGGATACGCACCCTCATACAGGTAGGTCTCGTTGAAGTTTTCAGGGCGTGGAATGTCCATATCATAGAGACAGGTAATCTATTCGGCGCAAATATTAGCCATATTGGATGTCGCAAGTTTTCCGAGAACAGGGGGTTAATAATTGGTCATGGTGCTTAGATCCTTATTGGCTCTTACGTTACGATGTCCTCTAAAGTGCTGGAGCAGCTTGATCTCGCGCAAGGCGCGCTTGGCGAGAATCTTTTTGCTGAATACATTGGTGACTTTCTTGATGGCAACGCCTTCGTTTGTTTGGTTGTTCACGGCGGCACTGTTCGATTCAGTGGTGTTAGCCTAATGGGCGACTGATGAACACCCAAAAAGATTCCAAGAGACGCGCATACCAGACTATACCATAAGCACCTTGTCCTAATTCTTTTGTGACGGTGTAGCGCTCGTCTACGATGAAGTCCTGGTTGAAAACCTTGAAGACCTTGCGCCCTTGTAAATCGGCCATGGTGGATAATTCTTATCAGAGTCCTCGTCAGTCGAAGATGTGGCTCGTTTCAGGTGTAGATCAGAAGTTGTTGGTGTTTCACGACTTGCGCTTGCGCTTGCGACCCGACAATTGAGATTAAGTCTGAGGGGGAAGAGGAGGTGGTAGCGGCACAAGAAGACAATGCAAGATTCCCAATAGCCAAGAAAGACCGTGTTAGGAGGATACACGTACTCTTCAAAGAATCAAAGTAGTGCTGGACGTGATGAAAGTTGCGCAGAATGGGAGAGGCAATGACGGCAATAGCGCGAGAGGGAAATATATTTCAACAATGAGCGAGTAAGATGGTAGCAGTCATCTAATTTCGGTCAAGCAGGCTGTGGAGATATAAATGCAGAGACATGCAAGGTGTCAGGGCTTAGTCGGATCAAATGGGGCCGTATCAAGAAGAACGCCAGCCGATCTGAGGGGGGCTGATGTCACGTTGGTGTTGAACGGCTGTATAATACCTTGCTGTCGCGAAAAGTAGACTCTACCGTCGCTGACGGCGGTACTGACAAATGGATTTCTTTTTTGACGGAAGATGAACGTGACACTCACGTTGGGGTACGAAGGTACGAAAGCACTTGGGTCAAGTTTCAAAATATAATATAGACAAGCTGGACTGGAAGTATAGAGCAGAGAGTGATGGGAGTGCAAGTCCACGATGACGGCGCAAGAGGACTTGTCTTTCTAGAACAGCAGATGAGGGGAGAAACGTCAAGAGCGTCAACAATTGGAGGGGTTCACTAGGTACCTACCTACTTAGCGAGCCTAGTACCTACCCAGAATACATTTTTGGCTTCTTGTCTTGGGTCTGTCTTGGGCACCCAGCCCAACGCTAAACTAGATCTGGCAGATATCTGGGCAGCAAGTCAGCCTACTATGTACCTACTAATTAGCATCTAATTAGCATCCCTTAGTCGCCTACCTAAACATCTTACCAACCTACGCTAGGAACCCCGAAACCCGTAATCCCCTCCATGATCTGGGCTGATCTGGGTATCTTCAGGACAAGTCCCAATTAGAGATGGATGGGGATAGGTCTGGCGCAGGACCGAGTAAGAAAGTAAACCCCGCAAGGCACGTCAGACGGGCAGCGCTCGCCACGCTATTGGCCGGATCGCGAACAAAGACCCCGTTATCCTTGGTACCTCGTACAGGCTCGTACAGCCCTGACACCCCACTATCGAGCCCTATAGCCGCTGACTGTCAGACGTTGGCCTTGTGATTGGGTCCATGGACAACGGGTAGCCGCCATATTTTCGATTAGGACAGTATTTTCCGGCCCCCATCCTTCCCATGACAAAGGTATCGGGGCATCGAGGCATCAGTCTGACTAGGTACCCGTCTACCCACTATTCCAGGCACGCTACCGGTACTACATCTGTCGTAGCGATGAGCTGAGGTATGAAATTAATTGCAGCGGAAAGCACCTAATAGACGGCGTGGGTACATTCGGATTGTCAGTAGTCGGAAATTGAGATGCTTCAAGCCTGTCTACTACATAGTATGTAGTGTTGATATTCTACAGTGGCAGTGAATTGGCGGGGCGGCAAACGCCAACGGAGATGGGGGGTTAGCTAGTACGCGGTAGTGGTGTCGAAAAGGGGGCAATGTTGAGGCTTATTGCTATCGGTTGTTTTCGCTGCCGTGTGGACTTCCTTTCATCTACCCAAAAATAATACACAATGGTCGAATATCGGATCTCTCAACACAGCCCCTATATCGACCGTACTCCCATACGATAACCAGTCGGGTGGCACGGTATTGCTAGATGCGGCATGATGCGACGAAGACATCTCCGATTGAACCTAGATTTGCGATTCTTTACACCACAGCCAACCAATGATTAGCAATGCGCTCCAGGCTGTGAGGTCTCTGATACGCATGTCGCGCTGGTAATAGTCTCGTCTTATTACACTGTAGAGTGTTTACACGACCAAAAGCCACGCAGATTGCATCACCAACGATAAATCATGGCTCGGAAGATGCCAGGAATCCGCTTCTAATACTGAATTGGGCGATCTCAGGCGATACTGTGACTAAAGGAAGGACTGTGGGTATTGTTGTCTATATTCTATGTCTAAGACGAGGGTATTGGGTGGAAATCACAAACTTTGCTAGCCATGTGTCTTCAGGTCGTTGTCGTCGAGACGTCGGGGAAAGTGGCGGCCAAGAAGTTCTTCGAGAATCTTTTGCATTGCTCGTAGGTCTTTTCGAAAGCATCACCGTCGATATAGTACGGGTCCTGTATGACTTCTTTGCGGTCGGTGCCAGAGAATTCGCCAAACAGCATCACTTTCGCCTTCACACCACCCCCCTTGGAATTGTACCGTCTCTTGATGTCGCTATGATTGCTATTGTCCATGGCGAAGATGTAGTCGAAACTCTTGAAGTCGCTATCTTGAAGCTGCCAGCGAGAATCATTAGCCTCTCTATCCCACGGTGATTGCAACCAGATTGGCAAGTTGACGAACCCGTCGAGCACTATGTTGGTAGTTTCGGATACCGTTTGCTCGAAGCGTCGCCATTGTCCTGGAATCGGGATCGTCGCCAATATGGTAACCACCTAAACGTGGGCGAGATTGTGTTAATTCTGTGTCGATGTATCAATGGCTATGCTCTCCGTACCTGTTCCGCAGGAATCGACCGTGCCAATGAGGTTGTAATACGGGGAAGAAGGATCCTTGACTATCGATTGGAAGACGCCCTCGGCCATTGTAGAACGACAAATGTTGCCCAAACAAACAAAAAGGACGGATATCTTTTCGCCATTTGCGGCACTCGCAGATGCTGGCATGGTTCTTACTTGCGATGCAGCCGACACGGAAAATAAATAAATTGGTAAGATGATTGATGCGGTGCTCAATATTTTGCCTTGACACAGCTACCAGGATGACGACGATTTGGCTTGAGAGTGTCCCACGCATCTTGTCAGGTAGGTACAACTGCAAGGAGGGGACACCGGAGCGCGGGGCTTCCCTCGTTAGGTGAAAACCTTCATTAGTTGCGTAACTCAGAGGCTGCCTGAAATCTACCTTAGCTACATATGTAGGTAACTATGTACATGGAAGACTGAACCTTGGCCCCCTTTCTCGTCACCGTGAAATAGAAGTCTTCAAGATCCCCTAACACAACCAAAGGGGTAGTCCTTTTGTAAGTATTCTGTTCATTGGCTGTACTCAAGTCCCGGGGATTGGGGATCTACCTCCTCAATACTTCGTAGAACCCACCTCGCTTGGCCGGAATTGACATACTCCAAACTGATTCGTCCTCCAGAACTCTTGAAACTCGCTTTGTCAGTACGTAAAGGGTGTCGTAATCTACGAATTCCGTAGACTTCTACATACATTCACCTATGAAAAGGAGCAAGACGAATGCGAGTGTCAGATTCTACGCTACTGTAGGTGGTAATCGCTTTACGGAGTACCATGAGAGCATTAACATGCGAATTTGATAGGTCAGAAGAAGGTAAGCATAACCAATTCTTCGGACAAAGATCATTCATGCTGTCTGATTGGGCGGTTTTGAATGTTGATCGAACTGCGATATCATCTATCTGAAAACCGGTCGACAATCTACGAAGTACAGCATCTACAGCTGCGGATTCGTCGATAGCCGTAGTCAGAGTCTACCAGCTGTCACTTTCTGACCAGTTTCTCATCCCAATTTTACCACATTAGATGTTTTGATCAACATCCCTTTCTGGGGTCTATGCAGGGGATTGGCTGCAGTGGCTTCTGCCGACAAGTTTCCCACGAAGCTGACGACGACGGCTTTTAGATGGGCTTGTGGGGTGGGTACACTCCAGCACGCGCGACTCAGCTTGGGGAACCGGTTCATGTCTACCGTGCCCCCAGCCACGCGGAATGCCATGTTGGCAGAACATCCGTTTTGAAACATACATAGTAGGCAGGCAGATTAAGATGCTGATAACTTGAGTGGCCAGCATTTACCGGCAGGTGTGATGGTGTACCTGAGTGGCGTACAGGTGCGACATCCATAACACCCACGACACCCGTCGGCTCCAATTGATAGGTTAGCTGCTTAATTACTTAGCTCCAAGGCTGTGGGACGACGACGACGTCTCTCCCGAGCCTCCCTTTTCTATCCCTTTCATCTTCCAACAGCAAATCAGAGTTTGCTCTGTGTGAGTGCCCGCTCGGTGAAAATCTTCTACTCCCCAATTTTTTCTTCTTTACGGCATTTAGTCTCGTTTCATGACACACATTTGCTTGGTGCCATCACGCTATGACCAAGGCAGTCCAAATTGCTGAGATACTTACGCCGCATGCAAGGCTGGGTCAAGGTAAGGTATGAGGGTGAGTCAAGACGTACGTTGGCTCGGCGCCGCCTTGCCAACCATGGGCGTTGCCACGAGCGGCAGCATTCCAGCAGCTACTCCTTGTGGCCGTCTCATTTCTTATTCTATTTCTGTCCCAGGAATCCATCCTTGCACTCCCAGCTCTGGCGGCCAAGCAAACAAGTCAACGGCCGAGAGCCCTGTAGCCAACCATCGGACCGCCGACTGTGCCATCTGGAGCTGGCATGACATGGCCGGTTCCGTTGTGTGGTTCTTGTCCCAGAACATCTGCAGCCACTCACAGCCACTCACTGCCGGTTGCGCGACTCGTCGTCCCGACAGTCGGACAGCTGCTCCACCTCTCCGTCTCGGCTAGCTCACCTAGAGTTCATGCTCCTGTATTGGACTTATGGGATTCGGTTTACGCTCCCAGCCATGCAGGGCCGATCGTAATACAAAATTTATTCGTGCTACCATCTGCAGACCTCTGATTGATCTAAGATGTAGAACGAGGTGAGGAGGTAAAGTGGTCTTGTTCTGTTGGTAGCTCCTGAATATCACTTTCCGGAAACGCCCGTCCACCCTTTTCCATGGTGTTGTTCCACTCTCTGCCAAGATATATCCATCACACAGGCATGCGATTGTGTTCGACTGCCAACCGGAAGCGAGGATGTCCCACGTATTTGCTATCTAGTGAATGCACTAACCCCTGCCGTTCTTCGTCATACTCTTTATCACTGGAGGCCCTTGTTGTTTGTTGTATCAAAAGGTATATATATACCTAGTCCTACGTCCTATTGGGCCCGCCTATAAAATGAATCGCAAACTTATAGGCCTTTGACGGTTCCCTTTCCTACGTCTGGTTATAGCACGTTCCTTTGCTTGACCGTACTTCCTCTCTCTCTCTTTATACTTAGTTCTGTTCTTGGTCGTTCATTCTGTGAAGTGTCCGTCTCTCTTCCTTTCAGCTAGCTATCACCATGGTTCCTCAACCAAGTATCCTCGCCCTCGCAGCAGGCCTGGCAGGGCTCACATCAGCCTCGCCTGTGCAGCCTAAAACCGGAAGCTTCTCTGTTTCCCAGGTTGCTAACGTCAACTTCAAAGCTCATGGTCCCGCCCAGCTCGCAAAGGCACTATCCAAGTATGGAGTTTCGATACCAGATGGCCTCGCTCGTAACATGGCCAACTTGGACGCCGCCCGCATCGCGGTACGAACCTCGGGCAGTGCTACGACGACACCGGAGCAGTACGATATCCAATATCTCACGCCCGTTAGCATCGGTAGTCCACCACAAACCCTAAATCTCGACTTCGATTCTGGCTCATCCGACCTCTGGGTTTTCAGCTCAAAAATGCCGTCCGATTCAGTCCAGGGACAGACCATATACGATCCCAGTAAAAGCAAAACGGCAACAGAAGTAAAGGGGGCGTCTTGGCATATCACGTACGGTGACCAAAGCACATCCAAAGGTGTTGTTTATCGTGACACGGTTACTGTCGGTAACGTGACAGTTCAAGGTCAGGGTGTTGAGGCTGCTACCCAGGTGTCCGACCAGTTTACGAGGGATGCTAGCAACGACGGTCTCCTCGGTCTTGCATTTTCTCGTCTCAACACGGTCCAACCACAGCAGGAGCTAACATGGTTCGATAATGCTGTGAAAAGCCTCGACCACCCTGTCTGGACTGCGGATCTCAAATACCACAAAGGTAAGCCATTCAGGGTCAAACATCATCTCTCTCTACTCATCTAACAAACTCATTAGCTGGTACATATGACTTTGGTGTTATTGACAAGTCGAAATATGCGGGGAAAATCTCATACGTCGACGCCAACTCGACGACTGGCTTTTGGATGTTCGACATGTCGGGCTATAGTGTCGGCAATTCCACATTCAAGCCCTCCCCATTCCAGGGCATCGCAGATACGGGAACGACACTCGCTCTACTACCTTCGCCAATAGTCCAAGACTACTACAAGGCTGTTTCTGGCGCCAAAGTAGACCTTTTCCAGGGCGGTTACGTCTTCCCTTGCTCGGCCAAGCTACCGAACTTCATTCTCGGTATCGGGCAGGCCAAAATCGCCATTCCTGGTAAATATATCAACTATGCCCCTATAGACAAGTCTGGCAAGACCTGTTTCGGCGGCATACAGTCCGACGAGGGCGTTGGTTTCTCCATCATTGGCGACGTGGCGCTCAAGGCCGCATTTGTCGTCTTTGACGCAACGGCTGCGCAACCCCGGCTGGGTTGGGCTCAGAAGCAATTATAAGCGACAGCATCACTCGGTTGGAAATATTATGATGATACTAGCGGTACTTGGAAGTTTCTTCTTACTGCTTAGTTCGGTAAGTATTTTTGGGGCTCATTTATCATATATGGGCACATACGATTGCGCTGAGCGTCGATGATATATTATTCTTGTATTGTAACAATTCAATTATACCCATTATAATAGGCATGTTACCTACTCTATCCTATCACACCATCAAATATACCGTTACATGTAGTAGGACACTGTAGGTTAGCCAATTGTAGAACGTAAGATTGAACCTTCCCAAGCAAACTTCGCTAATCTTAGCGTATAAACGTTAAGCTCCTAACACAACCTCATCTGCTAATCCCAACTACTCAAACGGAGGCTGTAGTGGCGCAATCAAATGTAGAGTTCATTAGATCGTTTATATTTGAGCTCCAGTCCTCATACCAAGATCTTATATATAAACTTACAGAAGATCAGTCCTCGTGTATTTTAATATACACTACATCAACATCGTGCCTCAGTCAAGAATCTTCTTCTCCAAAGAAGCAATCCTCTACTTAGGCTCTCATTTAGGAACAGTACTAACGAAGCGAGCAAACGCCTTCCTTCGTCCGTCCTCAAGGGTACCGAAGTTCTCCCTGATAGGCCCGATCAAGATCTCCTCGTCGCCATTCTCCAGCCCCGGCCAGCAGTCTTTCATGAACTCTTCGATGGTAATCCCAATATTAGCTAGGCCTGCTGCGCGCATGTCTTCTTGTAGCTCGTGTAGTTCCGTCTGGGAATGGTTGTGTTAGACTGGGAATGAGGAGACACAGGGCAAGACATCTGGATGATTAGGTGGGACAGGTAGGGTTTAAAGAGAAATAATAATAGAGAAGGGGAAAAGGAGCAAACGGGTAGCGCGTCTGCAGATACACCACAGGACGTCGTGACACGGCATGGCACAGCATACACAGCATAACATAACATAACATAAACATACCTGCACAGCAGGCGGCACAACCTCGATGACCTTGACGCCTTGGCTCTTCTCATCAGCCCGAAGCTGCGCGCGAATCGACCACACGAGGGCGTGCAGCGCGGCCTTGGTAGCGCAGTAATTAGCGCAGCGCGGGAGCGGGACGAGGGCGAGACCCGACGACACGGCCACCAGGGCCGCGCCTCTTCCCTTCCGCGAGAGCGCCTGCAAGTGTGGGAGGAACGCCGCTGTCAAGGCTATATACGAGGTATAATTGGTGTCGATCTCCTTGCGCACCAGATCGACGTCGATCGCCTCCGGCCGAGCAAAGTTACATGGTCGCTGGATCCCTGCGTTGAGGACCACGCAGTCGAGACGTGGGTGGGCTTTAACGATCCTGGATTGCAAGGAGAGAGGGTTTGTTAGTGGATTGATGAACTCCGGATCTCTCTTTAAAAAAAATATCATTCATCAGATTTCCCGCGAAAATGCTCATGCTGTTATTCAAGACGAATCACTCCTAAACATCTCCAAGCAACAACAACCACATGAACAAAAAACAAAACGCCCCGCCTTCTCAAAGTGAAACTCAAAAACTCACTCACCCTTCAGCCCACCCCTTGACGGCCTCGATATCCGTGATATCAAACTGTTCAACAGCAACTTTATCCCCCCCATGCTTCTCCAGAAACGCATCCAGCCGCTCCTTGCGTCGTCCAACAGCGATCACGAAGCTGCCGGCCTCAATCATGCGCTCCGCCATGGCGACGCCAAGGCCGGCGGTGCAGCCTACCATGAGCACGGTCTTGTATTCCCAACCCATTGTCTTCTTGTCCGTCTAGCTTCTTGTCGTACGAACCGTTGCTGCTGCCGTTCTGTCTTTCTTAATCTTTATTAGACATGGAGATGAGAAATAAAAATAAAACAAAACGCGGATGACTCGGCTCTATAACAAGAAGAAATATGAATAGTCCTCGGACCTTGTGACGTTGATGGTTTTCCTTATCTCGGCACTTACATACTTACCTATATGAACGAAATAGACCTTTTTAGCTTAGATAGGTATTTAGCCGCGAATCTTAGCCAATCTAAAAACATCGTCACGATTCACTTAGTATATCCCAATCTTTGGAACTATCGCACCACGCCACCAGCAAGATTATAGATTTGGTAATTCCAACTGTATCATCAACACTGATAATGGCGATTAAATAATGTTGGAAGTCTTCGAGGCCACTTGATCGTCAAGCTTTATTAGTTCGCTTTTAGCTTACAAGTCAGATTAAAAAGAATTGAAAAAGTTATCAGATGACACCATGAAGGACTGTACTGCATAGGCAATGTGTAATGCCATTGATCACTACCTAAATACTATTTATACTAACTAACCCCTATCTCAAGAGGCTGTAGGATTGGCGGTGGGCATTGCACATCTACGCCGACGGGTGCATCCACAAGAGTCGTCAGTGTGATGCCCCATAACCATTCTATCTCAAACGCGTAGAAATCGAGAAATGACAAGTGGCCCAAAAATGAATGACATGAAGTACAAAGCGGTTATGCAAAATGGTCCCGCCACGATGACCGTGATCTCTGGGCCTCCATCCACTGGAGAATTTGCTACCACCACAAGTGCTGGACCGATATCCATGGCGTGACAGATGCATGTGCATCACATGTTAGCCCAGGAGCTCGGTTTAGAGCCAAAAACCATGCGAGAAAAAGAAAGAGAAGAGCCGTTCTCGATTTTCCCAACCCAATCCCGTCCAGTTAGGTCCGTTCATGTATCAGGAACCACGCAGAGAAGATCTACCTTTCCAGGTATAAAATCGTAAGGAGACGAAGACGTAGGAAGCGTGCAAACGTGATTGCGTGAGAGTTGAGATTTTGGTTGAAACGTAGATTAAGCCACCGGAATGCCACCCTTGCGCTTCTCTGCGCTTGTGAGCACGAGTCTAGGGGCCTTTCGCTGACCAGGCTGGCTGTCGACTTTGGCTTGACGCTGAGAGCCGTGCTTGAAGACGCTGGCAAAGCTGTTGTCTCCCTCGCCGTTGCTAGCTTGGCTGTCTACGCTCCTGCGTGATTTCTGACGCGAGCTAGGACGGTCCGAACCAATAGCGCCCCAGCTGCCACTTGCAGAAGTTCGAGAACTTGCTAAGCTAGGCTCCGCATCACCAGACAAACTGCCTGAGCCACTACGCCCAGAGTCAGACTCATTATCGGTGAGTGGAGTCCCTGTTTCCTCGGCGCTCTCTGAGACGGGGCTCATGCTGCCACAGCTGCTTCCAGTGCCCTTGCGGCGTACGAGGCCAGCCTTCATCAAGTTGTGGACAGCAGATCGACGTTGACGTGCGGCAAAATTCTTGCTTCCTTCATGCTTGGCCGTCGGTTTGGCACGGAGCTCATCCATGGCAGGAGGACCACGAGGCTGACGAATAGGATGCTCACCAGCGCGAGCCTGGCCCGGACCATAGCCTCCATTTGTAAGAGGTGTCAGCGGTAGCGAAGCAGTTTTCGGCCCATTCGAGTTAATTGGCTCGTCGCAAGCAACGGTGAGTCCTTTGTTGGCATTGGCTGATGACAGTGACTTCTTGTGCCCGCGTCGGAAAGCGTTGGCAGAAGGGGGTGGCAAGGGTGTCGGCTCGGCCATCATTTCCTGCCTCTTGGGAGGCGAGATAGTGCGCTGGGTCGGGAAAGAGTTCTCCGCAGGAGGAGGGGATACCTGTACACGCGGCGTACCTTGTGTCGCTTGCTGAAAGTAGGCGCTTTGAGGAGTGCTGGGCTGATTCTCATAGCTACTAGGCTGCATCTGACCAGTAGTCGGGTCAACTAGGTAGGTGATCCGAGTGTTGGGGTCATAGTAGGTGAACAGATTCTGAGAAACAGAGGTTTTCATGGTCTGCTGCATTGTCTGCTGCATAGCCTGTTGCTGCATAGCTTGAAGTTGTTGCTGTTGCTGATACAGAGATTGGAGAGCAAGCTGTTGCTGAAGTGCCTGCTGGCCGCTGAGATTCAGACCCTGGAATTGCTGGGCTGCTGACTGTACATTGAGCAACTGTTGCTGAAGACGTTGCTGCTGCTGAGCTAGATATAGGTTGGCCGCGACTAGCTGAGCATATAGGCCAGGGTCCATCTGGTCTTGTGCTTGCTCGTCCAGGTGGAACTCAGGAGGTGCCAGAATTTGCTCGGGAGTGTAATGCTGATGACTCATACCCGACATTCCTGCCATGTTGTATGCCCCCTGTTGCTGGGTCGCCATGCGAGGGAGCGACGTCTTGGGAGCATTGTACATATTGGAGGCGCCGTACATGTTTTCAGCAGTACCGTTATTCCTACCATACCCGGGAGTGGACATCCCGGCATTACCAAAAGTGGCAGCAGTTGCGGACTTTGGGGCTGTTCTTAGGCCGGCGAGAAGGTGACCTCGGCTTGTGCGCGGCGTGGGAACTCCGTTATCCTGAACATCACCAGATGACTTGATGGTGTCAAAGGATAGTGGTTTGATATTCTGTCCACCGCGGCGTGAAGCTAGGCCTCCGGTGGGCATGCCCAAACCGGTTGTGGAAGTAAAATCGTTGTGCGACATTTGAGCAAGACCGCCGGTGTTCATGCTCAAGGGTACAGAAGATGTAGTGTGTGTAACTCCTCTAACCGTGCCGAAGCGGTCGAGGGGGTATTAGAAGTGAAGTCTAAGTAGTAAAATGAATGGACGATAGCCACTCAAGGATGGGACAATCGATGGGTATTACAATCAACTATATGTGGGAATGAGGTAAGGGAAACCCTAGCAGTATTGGTTGATGATTATAGTGGCGGGATTGGGCAGTGGTAGGGTCAAGCAGCTAGTGCTCTTTTGTCCAATGGTGGCCTAATGATTTTAATGGGATCGATGCTCGTATCAAACGGAGTGATGGGTTTGGATGGCAAAACCGCAGAATCCAAGAAAGCAGAGTGCCGAGGATTCAAAGCCGAGACAAGAAACAGAAGACAATTGGTGCGAACAGAGGCGTGCTGCACGCGAATATACTGTCTGGTGGTGTAATATTAAAAGATATTGTTGAAGGGCGAAACAGGTCGACGTCGGGAATGAGCCAGTATGGAACTGTGGTCGCGCTTCAATCGAGAGATGGAAAGACACAGCTACCAAGTAAGCAAGGGCAGCGTAACAAAGTTGACAAGTACGAAGCAACCGTAAAGAAAGAACAGACGATGATGATAGATCGTGTATAAAGAGCAAACACGATACTAAAGATCAAAGTTTCCTAGATAGTTGACCTGAGTGGTCTCTGAGAGCAGTGGAACGTGGCTGCGAAACGGCCGAGGTTGTGGAGAGAGTAACGTATTCGTCAGTTGCTCTCCTTTGTACTCGGTGGGAGAAGTCGCACAAAACGTGCTTTTTTGTCTCGAAAAGAAAGGGATGGTGACGATGTAAGATCCGCTTCCTTCTTTCACACAGTGAATGCTCGGTAGAGTTCTACTCTCTCTGTCTGTCTCTCTAATTCTCTTTCTCTTTGTTGGTTCTTGTTGGTTTATTCCGGCCTTTCGTGGTCTGTCTGTCGGCAACGACGCGTTTGCAGATTAAGGGCTGTAAAATACTGACTAGTATGTGCGACAGGACAAGTAATGCGATGCAATGCAGTATAAATCGAATATGACAGAAGCAGAAGTCGAAATAATGAAAACTGTACAAGAATTAGGTGGCGAAAAATAGAGATTGAGTCGTCCAGAAACTCCTGGGATGATGGTTGGTGTAGTCTTGTTGGTTTTTTTTTTCTCTCGTTTTGGGTATCAAAAGCCGGACGGAATTGGCGATATTCCTCTCTAGATGTTGTGACGATGCTGGATGCTGAGAATTTGTTGGCAATGGGTTGTACTTGCGTGGTCGGCGAACGAAGCCACCAGCTTGGTTATTGTCTTGTTTGGTGGTGATGAAATCGGACGGTCAGCAGCGGCGATGAAGCACGGCGGTCAAGGACAGGCGGGTGTTGAGGCACACGTTGTACACTCGCGGCACCACAGCAGGCACAGACACACAAAGAGAAAAATGCTAAGAAGGATAGCACCCGAAGGTTGAAGGGGAGAAGAAGGAGGGAGGATAAAGGAAGGGCGGATTGTGGCAAGAGAAATAAGGTAATAGGGTCGCGCGAGGTCGGTAGGAGGAGGGGATGGGAGGAAGACGGGCCTGGGGGAGATTTGGATAAAGAAGATGGAAGGGTTTCGCCGCCGTGTGGTGTGGTGCGGTGCGGTGGATGCGCTAATGAACTGTACTAAGAGCTTCTACTAGGTATGTAAGAGGTACCTACTCCGTACCCCCTACCGTAGGTACTGGCACTGGCTAACGCTGCCCAGTGGTGGTGGTGCTGCTGCTGCTGCACAAAGTGATGGGAAGGACTGGCCCTACAAAAAGAGCATGTGGAGCTCTCTACAGCAGGTACCTACATGTACCTAAGGTGTCTACTTGTATACATGTACCTATTGCACTACCTACATACATCTATACCTACTCAGGACGTAGCTAAGTGCAATCAATGGCTGTAGCAGATGTAGAGACTGTCGTGTACCTCATGTAGACCAGGCAGGCACCTACCCTACCCATCAGGTAGTCACACCACTATGTACCTATCTCACTACCTCGATCTTTAGGTAACCCTACCTACCTACATAAGTATGTGAGTATCTGTACTTAAGTATCTAAGTGCCTGTAGCTACTTAACCATGTGAAGCTGGAGAAATACGTACTTGATCTATCTGCTTCAATTTTCAGGTGCTGGTATCACATAAAGCCTGCCTAGTCTCGCAATGCAGGCTGGACCGAAAGCGTTCCTCACATGTAGTGGATAAACTACTGCCCTACATGTACACAAATGAGAGGCTGGAGACGAGAGACGAAAAAGCCAAAATAGGTGCTGGCCCCAGTGAAGAGCATACGCTAGTGGAGGGTCGCTGCGGCGAATGGGTGCGTCACAGCCAGTTGCTCTCTCGCAGTAGGTAACTCTCGCTCCAGCTGTCCACCCCCAACAAGAGAGATGCAGTACTACTGTGTAGGTAGGAACTTGAGTGCTTAGGATGATAGGTAGGAGGACTCTGGACAGGCTTTATGGTCTCGATACTGTGGAATTCTCGACTTCAAGGATGGTGGAAATGCTCGATCTAGGCTAAAGGTGATGAGGTAAATACAGTGTGGATTCGTACGGTTTTCAGGGGAAGTGCAGAGATTACTATGTATGCATTCGTGAATTGGGCTCGAAAGGACAGGGTGAGCTGCACGAATCACACTTTGGGGCCCGTCAGGCCTGTTCATTGGCCCAGCGTCGAGGTGCCTACATTGGGTCGAACCAGTATTCTGCCAATCAAGACCACTGGTTTGGAGAGAAATAGTGGCGTCAGCTAGGCCGGCCAACCATATCCCACACAAGGGTTGAGGGGTCCTTTCAGGGCGCTACTGTGTACCACTCCTTGCCATCGTCCCCACAGCACATGGTACAGCCTACATAGTACCTAACTGTATGTTGGTAGCAAGGTACCTCCAACTTGCTCGTTCATTCATCCGCCAACATAGGTATGCTAATACAGGATAGATGGCCTAGCTGGGTTATCAAGGTCGTGATTTCTTACATATATATGTAGTCGGACTGGAGACACAGATGTGATTGATTGGTGTAATTGTAAAAGTGTCTACCTACATATGTACTTACTTAAGTAGATGCGTGTGTCCAAGCTTGGTACATGTACATATAGAACACGCCTGATATATGTGAGTGACACTACACCGAGAACGGCTATAAGCTCCAACTCTAGCAAGAGAGACCCTGGGAATCCTCTTTGCATCTGATTCAATGCACAAATTACACGTACTGTAGGTAGCCACTGAACTTGGAAGATTGTGCCCGCTTATGCTGAAGTTGGTATAAATTTAGAAGATAGGTGTTCAACGATGGAAGAAGTCCATGTCGATCAGAAGCTGCTTCGCTACTTACCTAAAGGCTACCCTGGCGTCTGAATGCATAACTGAATTTAGTGCAGCATCTGGACCATAAGCCTTAAGGATGGGATGAGGGTGTGTTGGCATATGGCCGATTGTGGCTATATTGCCACTAGTATTAAGTGAAGATTGTGGGCTAAATACGTGCCCCATCAGGGTTAGGATATATTCGATGTAAGCGAGGATATAGTCCATATTACCTATATATTATATTTATATGGGATAAATATCTTTTTAACGTTTTGCTATAACGCATCTCCCACTTGACCTGGCCACCCAATTGAGCTGGCCACCCCCTTAACCTATATAAAAATCCAATGTTTCAATTTAGAATAACTTAACTAATATTGGTCCTACGATTTAATAATTAGTACCATTAGACCCATTATTTGATAAGGAATCCAGCGGTATTTTTTACTATTTTTTATAAAATTTATTGAGCGAGATATTAAGCAATACGCTAAAAGGGCGCTAGGCAAGGATTAATTTAGCGCTTACTTTAGCGTATTGCGTAATAACTCCACGAATATAAGTCGTATAAACTAATGAAGGGTACCGTTAAATAGCTCTTTTTATTACGAATCTAATGGTATATTTTATTATTTTATACGACCAATACTTGTAAAGTTATTGAATTATCACGTGATTAGCGCATCGACGTTTTTTGTATGGGCTGGTGGGGTGGCCAGCTCAATTGGGTGGCCAGGTCAAGTGGGAGATGCGTTATATAATTTAGATTTTCTTTCTTATATAATTTTAATATACATATATAAACCTATATATATAAAGTAACCATTTTTTATATAATAATTAATATAGAATATATATTAATTAATTTAATTAAAGTTAATTATTAATGTTTTAAAACTATTTTTACTAATTTTATTATATTCCTTTATACTTTATTATTATATATTAAAGGGCTTTAATTATAAAATATATATAAAAAAAAGGTTAATAATTATAAATAATAAATTAATAATATATAATTATTAATAATTTATTAAAAGAAATAATAAAATAAAAAACGTTATTTAATAAAATGTTAATTTAATAAATTAATATTAAAGAATAAATTCTTAAGCTTTAAAAGGATTTTAAAATAGTTATAATATATATATATTATATAAAAGGTTATTATATTAATATAAAAGATAAGCTTTTAAAGGTTTAATAATAGAAGGATTAATTAGTATTAAAGTTAATTAAATAAAAAAGAAGCTATTTTAAAAAAGTCTAGCTTTTTAAAAAAGTTTATATTAAAAAGCTTTAAAAGGTAATATTATATATTAAAAATATATTTTAACTAAGTAATAATTTATTTAATACCTTTAAAAAGAATAATAATATAATTATTATTAAATATAATAAATATAAAAAGGAATTTATTATATTAATAATTAAAGTTAATAGTTTTATTAATTATAAAGAAAAAGTTAAACAATTTTTATTATTATTAAATAATAAAAAGAAAAATTTAAAAATATTTAAGCTTAAATTTAAAAAGTTAATTTTAATAAAATTAAAGGGCTATATTAAAAAAATAGTAAAAAATTATAATCCTTTTAATTTATTTTTATTATTATTGTTATTTTATTTAAGCTTTTAATTTTAACTTTAATATCCCT